AGGGGTTTGATAAAGCCTTTGCAACCGTGCTGATATCGATATCATCACGGATGGCTGATACAGCACGCTTGCCAATGATTGTATTACATATACAATTTATCTGTATTTACTTCTAAGTATATAATAAGAAGTTTTATCATATACTTGTATAAAATATTACTAAAATTTTACAGTTCATTAACATTTAAAAATATTAAAAGGCTATGCAAGGATTACTAGGTTTATTTATCAGATTCCTAAGAATTTCCTCAGCGGGCTGATAAAGGAACCTTTATTGACTGCTTCCGGAATGTTATCACATGCCTTTCCGTTAATTTCCGTGACGTTTATCACATGCAACGTCGTGCATTTCCAGAAATTTGTTCGAAAACGACAACACAGTGCGGAAAACCGCAAGTGATTTAAGACTTTCCACAAAATAGTTGAGGAGCAAATTTCAAACTAAGAACATGTTAATTGTTGTGACAAGATAAATAAAATGCTTGTAATATCAATAAAAACAATAAAAGTTAAGACATTTGTATTTGGTTGTCTGTAAATTATTATCTAAAAATTCATGGAAAGACAAAATTTTAATTAATAGTTCTTGTCTATATTTCTTCTGTTGAAGTATATGATAAAAAGATAATTACATGTCATTTATCATATCAGACCCTTTATCGGCCCTCGTTCATGATATCAGCCCTCGAGCCTGCGGCTCTTGGGCTGATATCATGACCTAGGACCGATAAAGGGTCTGATATGAAAAATGCCATGTAATAATCTATACTTATTGCACAGATACGTTCAATAGTTTGTTAAAGTACTTACTTGACATATTTGAAATATCCTACGCTTTGAAAATGTATAGAACAGTTAAACAATAATTTTATATAAAATAGTTTACAGAGTAGAACTTACATACATTAACTAATAAACTATATGAAATAAAATAAACTGCATTTTTCTATTACAATATATTTATTCAAGAGATACGGTATATATACATATCCATCGTTGGTGTGTTAATAACGTTTCATTTTTCAAGTCAATTAACATGTCAATAAATGTCACTTGGCATTGACATCGCAGATCGGGTCGTAAGTAGTTCCAGCAAGAACTATAGAATAAGAATAAGAATATTTTATTTTCCAAATAAAGGGCCATATAAAGAGCTTTTATCACATTACATGCAAATACATAAGATTGGACACCAATTGAGAAACATAAAAGAAAACAACACAGTTTTACAATAACTGTTATATACGGTCACGAGTATATATGAATCCTTGCTATAAAATTGAGAATGGAAATGGGAAATGAGTCAAAGAGACAACAACCCGACCATAGAGCAGACAACAGTCGAAGGCCACCAATGGGTCTTCAATGCAGCGAGAAACTCCCGCACCCGGAGGCGTCCTTCAGCTGAACCCTAAACAAATATGCATACTAGTTCAGTGATAATGGACGTCATACTAAACTCCAAATTATACACAGGAAACTAAAATTAAAAATGATACAAGACTAACAAAGGCCCGAGGCTCCTGACTTGGGACAGGCGCAAAATGCGGCGGGGTTAAACATGTTTTTTGAGATCTCAACCCTCCCCCTATACCTCTAGCCAATGTAGAAAAACAAACGTACAACAGTACGCACAGTAAAACTCAGTTTAAGAGAAGTCCGAGTCCGATGTCAGAATAGGAAACAAAAGAAAATAAACAAAATGACAATAATACATAAATAACAACAGACTACTAGCAGTTATTGACATGCCAGCTCCAGACCTCAATTAAACTGATTGAAAGATTATGTCTTCATCATATGAATATCAGGCACAATCCCTCGATCCTGTTAGGGGTTTAGTATTATACCGTCATAAAATATATGAGAAGAACATAACCCGTGTCATGCCAACAACTGGTTTTAGAATAAATATGTTTAATTCCGATGCAAAGACCCTATAAGTGAATCAATATTAAAGCCAAAATATGCAATCTTTAATGACCTGACAACAGTATCGTAACTATATCCCTTCTTAATAAGTCTGTTTAAAGGTTTTGTTAGCTTTTGAGGTGAATACTGACATTATTGTGCTTTGTAAAGAATATTACCATAAAAGATTGGATGTGAAATACCCGAACGTATAAGATGTCTGCATGTTGAGTTATATTTACGAATGATGTCCTTATACCGATGATAAAATTTAGTAAATGTTTTGACTAGTTTATGATATCGAAAACCCTGGTGTAATAATTTTTCAGTAATACATAAATTTCTCTCGCTAAAATCTAATACGTTGTTACATACACGAGCGAATCGTACAAGTTGAGATATATAAACACCATAAGATGGTGACAAGGGAACGTCACATCTAAAAATGGATAATTAACGATAGGAAATGAAAAATCATCTCTTTTATCATAATTTTTGTATTAAGCTTCCCGTTAATGATATAGATATCAAGATCGAGGAAAGGACAGTGGTCATTGTTAGTATTAGCTTTATTTAAAGTAAGTTCAACAGGATAAATTTCTTTAGTATACATACTGAAGTCGTCATTATTGAGAGCCAATATATCATCCAAATATCTAAAAGTATTGTTAAATTTTTGTATCAGATGTTGTTTCGATGGGTCTTTGCTGATTTTAGTCATAAATTGTAACTCATAACAATACAAAAACAGGTCCGCAATAAGTGGTGCACAGTTAGTCCCCATTGGAATTCCGATAACTTGACGATATACGGAATCTCCAAAGCGAACAAAAATGTTATCAAGTAAAAATTCAATGGCAGATATAGTATCAAAGCATGTCCAATTGACATAGCTATATTTGGTGTATGAATTGATAACAGGGTTCATATCACATATACTGGTCTGGTGCGGATCTTAGGATTTTCACGGAAAGGGGGCTGGCAAGCCAAATGTTGGAAATGTTTTAAGCTTGAATTGACTTCTTCATATTTTTTTAATGTTTTCGTTAGGAATTCATTAAAATGTTTAAAATGTTTGACAGTATTCATTTTTTTCTTTCGTAAATTTTATCATTGTTTATAGAATTCATGATTATTTTAAAATAACTTATATAAATATCAAATGAAATATATTTTTTTAATTATTCTAAGATAAACATTCATAATTTTGAAATAATCTGTATAACTATTAAATCAAGGATCTTACTATATAAATCCATAGATCCTTGATTAAATGAAATAATATTTAAAAAAAAAATATTTAAAGATACATATTTTAATTTTTATACGCCCGTTTACGGGACGTATTATGGTATACCGTTGTCCGTCTGTCCGTCCGTCCGTCTGTTCGTCGTCAACATGTCGGACATTAACTCAAAAATGCTTTAACCAATTTGCATAAAACTTTGGTGAATTGTTTATATCTATTGACGTGAGCTCCCTTTCGTTTTTTATAAAATTTAGATTTTACTTTTCCGCGTTATGGGGTTTTATTGTGTTGATTATTTTTGTTGATATTGTGGTATGTAGTAACCCGACAATTGTAATGCTCTTTGGCACAATCTTGGGGAGGCTCACGGAAGGAGGCCGGCACAACAACGGAAAAGAAAACCAAACTAGAAAATCAAGAAACTCGCTATTCATTTAATGAAGAGAACATCAAAATAATTACAATCTAATTTCACAGTACAAATTTTAAAGTTAAAATAAATTGAAAACAATAATTAAATACTACAACAATTCAAATTAAATATAATATAATAACAATAATAATTACTATTAAATTAAACCTTTTAAATTAAAATATTAGTTATTTATAAACTTTGTCTTATTTTTCCAAAGTAAAATAAAAAGGAAAATAATTTTAAATCTAAATTATTTTCAGAACCAAGAGACTCACCTAGAAAATCAAGAAACTCGCTATTAATGTTATAGCGACTTGATTTCTTTATATACTAATCTCTGAGTGTCATAGTGACCATTAATCTATTATTCTTAGTCTACAATTCCTAAATCAAATACATAAGAATGTCCAAATATAGATTTTACGTGTCCGAGTTACAGGGTTTTATTCATAAAAAAGGGGGGATTTTCCAGTTTTCGGACAGAAACTCAAAAATACTTTCAGCAATTCTTATGAAACTTTGGTGAATTGTTTGTATGTATTAATGTAAGCTCCCTATAGAATTTTATAAATTTTCCATTTTACATTTCTGAGTTATGGGGTTTTATTCATTAAAAAAGGGGTGATTTTCCAGTTTTCGGACAATAACTCAAAAATGCTGTCACCAATTCTCATGAAACTTTGGTGAATTGTTTATATCTATTGATGTAAGCTCCCTTTTTATTTTCATAAATTTCTAATATGACATCGAGAATTAATTGAACTTTATTTGTTTATAGTCTGACAACATATTTACTAAGTATTGCACAACAGCAAGAAATCTTTAATTGAATATAAATTCAATTCATATAACCATGGAAGTATTATATTGACTGTCAATATAATACTTCCATGATATAACCAATTTCAAGATCTTTGACTACATTTATTCAGAAACCTATAATATGTCAAAAATTTAATTACAATCCAAATTCAGACCTGAATCAAGCTTGAATATTGTGTCCATTTTTGCCCCAACTGTTCAGGGTTGATCCTCTGCGGGCGTATCTAGCTGCGCTGAGCGAAGCAGTTTATTTGAAATGGTTTTATGTCTTTTATAGTCACGGTTATACTGAAGCAGATATAAAGCTTAGTCTGATAATCTCTCTGTTTTGTTGTTTAATAAACTTGACTTTTACATGGACTACATTTTGTTTATAACAGGATATATATATTATTCAATTGCAATAAACACGAACATTGAAATACCTAACACAATGTATTTAACTTTATTGGGAAAATTGAGAATTGTTTCCTACCAGATTTGTGACTAATTTTTCCTGTGACTTTTTTTCTTCCGTTTTACCGACAATCTAACGTTTGGAGTGATACTTGTAAAAATACTGTATTTGTCATATAGGAAGCTCCATAGAGAGCCCCGATATTCATGTATCACGTGTCTGCATGATGGACATTTCGTAGGACCTCATCATCTACACAATTGCACTCCAGGCCATAGAACATGTATTTTGGGAAAATGTGTGTTGACCATTTGGAAAGTCCTATGTGAGGTAAGAAGAATGCATTGCTGTATTTCTTTTACAAAAACATTTCTGAAGTCGATCGTTTTTCAGAAGTGGTATTGTATTATTGTTTATTCACTTTGATCAGAGACATATATACACATATGTGTATATATGTCCCTGCTTTGATTACGATGGGACTGTGTACGATATTTACCCCATAGATTGGTCCGAGATTACTCTGACGTCCAACGGCTGTTTTGTCCCACGGCCCCAGCTTGTCTGGCAAAACAGCCGTTGGACGTCAGAGTAATCTCGGACTACCCATAGATGATAGCAGGTTAGGAAGGTGAGCTTCCGTCAATTTTCCACAGAATCTATGAAATCGATCTTTTAACATTTGACATATATATATATATGCTTTAATGCTAGTTCATAGTATACCATTCTCAGATTAAAGTACAACTCAAGAAATTAAATTTCTTGCAAGATGAGGTCAGATAAAAATAATTTTATACATAAATACGATTATATAAATACATTACTTGTGAGGTTCACCACAGGAGTGCCGTTAAGGTCTAATTCAGTTCTGTATACATAATTCCGAACATCCAGGCATTTAACTTTTTTATAGGTGATTTTTACCAAACCCTCGTCTTTTTGCCTGGCTATAAAACATTTTATTTTCATTTCCCAATACGATACAAATATGTTTATACTGCACTCGTTCTATTTGAGCAGTCAAAATGCGTTGACCGTATATTTCTATGTCATATACAGTCACTGACCTGATATCACTTTTCCTCATGAATATTTAAATAGAAATTGCCGAAATTATAATTAATTATTCATACGACCTATTCAACCTGTTCTTGTTTCCAATGTATACAACGACTCAAACTTATTTCTTTTGCAATTTTTAGAAAAAAAAAAACATATTTCACTTGTTAATACTTTTGGTTTGCAAACTATAAATCATTATGTTTTATGCATATTGTTGATATTTTAGTTCATTCTCAAACGAATTCGTTCACCATCGATTGCGGGTTTCAACAGGTAATGTACATTTCATTGTGTTGTATATTTCTCCACCTGCATGATATGGGGCCTTTTTATAAAAGGGGGAAGTTTCTCAGTATTTAAATCAAATAATAACAATAACACATTAAACAACAATTGAAAATGTTTTTTTTAAGATTGCAGTATAAAGACAATAATAGTGCATTGACTTTACATATCAACAATATAAGGATTCGGCCCGAAACGGGGAAAAAGCTCGGCAAAGCCTCGCATTTCCCCGTTTCTAAGCCTCATCCTTATATCGTTGATATGTCAAGTCAATGCACTATTATTGTCTATATACAAAAAAAATAAAATTAAAAAAAAAATTTGTCAAAATATATATATATTGCTTTAAATATTGTATTAACACATGATAAAACCAGAGGGTTTGATAAAAAACACTTGGTCTGAAAATAGTCTGGGATAACAATATGAATTTAGAGTTTCATATCATACTATTCTTTTTTAATACATAAATAGAAACTTAAGATTGTATGAATTTCAAAATTGCTGCTTCCAAATATATGTAAGTTTTTTCAAAATAAGAAATGCAATATATATTGAATATGGTGCAAAGATAAACATTTAAAAATTTGTAATACTACATTTCATGAAAATAGTTACTTAAACTAACTTTATAAAGGACACTTGGCTATATAAGAATGACCTAATATTATATTATAGCTGTTAATTTCTGTGTCATTTGGTCTCTTGTGGAGATTTGTCTCATTGGCAATCATACCACATCACCTTTTTTATATATAAAAACAATATAGATATTACTCTGCTCCTGTGCTAAATTCTTTAAATAATAAAGATATTAAAACATAATTTTTCACTCAAATTAGCTTTTTTATGTGAGTGTAAAATGGTTTATAAGTTTCTTTAATATCACATTATACAATGTTAATTCATAAGTAATCAAAAGTAGTCATGATTTAACCTTATGAAAATTGTTAGGACTGTAAATTTGACAATACATTATTTAACTTTAGTGTTTCATTTTATTTCTATAAAAGAAAGAACTGGAACTGACTGTGATTTTATTGAAGGGGATAATACACACCACTTCCATTAAGCAATAGCAATTATACTATTAATGGTTTAAATGAGAGAAGAGCCAGGTGCGATAGTATTGTAGATTCCAGAGGGAAGGAACTACTTGATATTTGTATTTGCAATCAAATATGCATTTTAAACGGGAGAATATAAGGTACTAGTACAGGAAAATATACATGTTTTAAATACAATTAATGGATGTACATTTGTAGTGTGGTTGATTATGTGTTAGCATCAGAACAAATATTTTGTAACATTTTTTATATGTGTGTTTCAGTTTTCAAGGCAAATTTTTCAGATTGCCATTGTTAACTATCATTTAAAATATTTATAGCATCATTCAAAATCAAAATATTAATACAAATTTAAATGACTTTCCAACACGTAACATTTGGATTGAAGAAAAATTAATAAGTTTTCAAGACTCCTTTTTTCATCCTGCTATTCAAAACGAGATAAATGATTTCTTAACACAAGATATCAAATTTAATTCAAATAGCATAAATCAAGCGACCAACAAAATCCATTCACTTTTTGAAAAAGTTTGTAAAATTTCTCTTAAGAAAAAAAGGAAAAGAGTCAAAACTTACAAAAAATGGTTTGACCATGAACTGACATGATTAAAAAAAATTGTTGAGGGAAAAGCTGAATTAATGAACAAATATCCTAAAGACCCTATTATTCGTGGGTCTTTTTTTAAATCAAATAAAAAGTATGCAAAACTTAGAAAGTATAAAAAAAGAGAGTTTAAAAATATGATCTTAAATCATTTAGAAAGCTTAGAAACAGAAAACCCAAAGGAGTATTGGAAGCTTATAAACCTTCTTCGTATTGAAAATTGTGATAAACCAGATAGTAATATTGATGGTGAGACTTGGTATAAATATTTTACTACTTTGGCATCTATTAATCCTACAGATTAACATGCTCATCTGAATAAAATTGAAGAAAAATTTAAAATACTTGAAAACAAACTTACCAGCTTCACACTCCTAGAGAGTAAAATTTCAGAAGCAGAATTGAATAAGGCATTTAATAAACTTAAATCTGGTCAAAGACAAGATAATATTAGCAACGAAATGCTAAAGGCATCTTGATCTCATATTAATACAATTTTACTTAAATTTTTTAATGCAGTCTTTATCTCTGGTATATATCCCAATGAATAGTCAAAAAGTTTTGTCTGTCCAATATTTAAAGCAGAAGATAGAAAAAAAAACTGAAAAGTTTTGTATGTCCAATATTTAAAGCAGAAGATAGAAAAAAAAACCTGAAAATTTTTGTCTGTCCAATATTTTAAGCAGAAGATAGAAAAAAACCTGAAAATTACAGGGGAATTGATATAAATAATAGCCTTGGTAAACTATTTAATTTGATATTAAATAACAGATTTAATTTCTTAACTGATAACAACATAATTCATGAAACTCAAATAGGATTTTCAAAGAAGACCTGTACCTCAGACCATATCTTTGTATTAAGATGTTTAATTGAAAAATATTTGAAAACAGGTAACAATTTTTTTTTTACATGTTTGTGGACTTTCGAAAAGCATTCGATAAAGTTATACACATGGGCATTATGTATAAATTGCAACTTTGTGATATCAATAATTATTTTTAAGGAATATTGAAATCTATGTATTCAAATGATAGATTATGTGAAAAAGTGGACAACAAAATGGCAGAGATTTTTTACAGCAGAGGTTTGAGTAAGACAAGGCGATGTTTTGAGTCCCTATCTATTTAAGTTTTTCATTAATGAACTCCCAACAATTTTACAAGACAAGTCAGACTCAGTTTGTTTAAATAACAAAAAGATACCATGCCTCCTAGACACCATTCATTACAATATTTATGTAAAATATCAAGATTGTTTTGAAGCTCTACCTTAGTTTCTGAAAAAATAACCAAATCATCTGCATAAAGATGATTTGGTTATTTTTTCATATCCTTACATTTATTTGATCATTGTATCAAACTTATTATTCTGTATGGTTCTATATGGTTATGAGAATTGGGGTGTTATTAATAGTACTCCAAAGAGAAAATCATTGACTCTTTTTGATATATTCAAGGACTGGGAGACCGAAAAACTCCACTTCAAGTTTTGCAAATACATACTTGGGGTCTCTAAATTATATACTAACATAGGCGTTGTAACAGAACTTGGAAGACAGCTTCTTTACATAGATACGTTAAAACAAATTTTTATGTTTTGGCACAGACTTGTTCAATAATGCATACAAGGAACATATCCATTTGCATAGCATAAACAAAGGTCATAACTCTCGCTTCACAAACCTACTCTTTTATGGTGAAAAATAAAACATTGATCTGACCAATTGTAAAAACTTGAGTAAACATAAATTTAAGAAATCAATTAAAGTCTCTCAAAAACAGCTTCCTAGAGACCAACAAGGAAGTAAGGCCTTCTTATTTACATGATAAAGGCAAATTAAGTACATATTTTAAATTCAAATTCTCCTTAGAGAGAACTATTTATCCTTTACACATACTGATGATTGGAAAATTCTCACAAAATTGAGATTGAGTAATCATAGATTAAGAATTGAAACTGGCCATGATGAACGCAGGTTCAACTCCTCATGTAAATTGGAATATATTCCAAGATGTGAAAGACTTTTTTATTATTGCAATTTGAATGTGACTGAGGATGAGTTCCATTTTGTATTGGAATGTCCTTTATATGCAGCATCAAGAAAAGTTTTACTAGATAGTCTATTTATTAAATATCCAAATTTGAGAATACTAAACTTAGAGAATTTATTCATTTGGATTATGTCAATGATGACAAAAGCTTTATAACATCTTTATGCAATTACATTAACACAAGTTTTGAAACTAGAAAACTAAAAATTGGAAAATAAATTTACCAAATTGACACACCTAACTGCAGGTTTTTAGTGACATTAAATAGATTGGAGTTATCTTTCTTTCACCCAGCTGGCTCTCTCACAAATTGTTTATCTATGTACATGTTATATAAATAATATAATAATGTTTAATGAATGTTTTTCTAAAATGAAATTATACATGTTTGTCTTTACATGCCCCCGCGGTAGCCGTGGGGGCATTAAGTTTTACCCTTGTCCGTGTACGTACATACGGCCCAAAATTGGTTTCCGTTCTCTAACTTGAGTTTGCCTCAACCAAATGTTATGAAACTTATACATAATGCTTCTTACCACAAAACACAGATCAAGTTTGAATTTTGGTGGCGTCACTTTCACCGTTCTAGAGTTATTCCCCTTTATAATTGGAAAAATTGCAAAATTTTTAGTTTCCGTTCTCTTACTTAAGTTTGCCTCAACCAAATGTTATGAAACTTATACACAATGCTTATTACCACAAAACACAGATCAAGTTTGAATTTTGGTGGCGTCACTTTAACTTTAAGTAATTTTTATACGACTGCAAAAAAATTTTGCAATCGTATATAGGTATCTCGTCTTTGTTGTCGTCGTCCGAAAACATTTGGTTTCCGGACAATTACTTTAGTAATAGTAAATAGAAATCTGTGAAATTTAAACACAAGGTTTATAACCACAAAAGGAAGGTTGGGATTGATTTTGGGGGTTATAGTCCTAACAGTTTAGGAATTAGGGGCCAAAAAGGGGCCCAAATAAGCATTTTTCTAGTTTCCAGACAATAACTTGTGGAACGGTGTATGGATCTCTCTGAAATTATACCACAGGTTTCCATACCACAAAGGGATGGTTAAGATTGGCTTTGGGGGGTTTTGGCTCAAACCGTTTAGGAATTAGGGGCAAAAGTGAGAAAAAACAAGGGTGTCCTGGTTAATGGACAATTACTTTTAAATTACAATGTAAGGGAGGTAATTCAATGTTGTTGTTTGAATTACCTCCCTTACACTGCTTTTGAATTATGTATAAAGAAATGTTGTATTGTCTTGAGGTGATTAGCTGTCAATTTATTTTTAGAAGTTACTATTTTAATAATTTTAAAAATGCTGATTAAGGTAAATTAATTTTAGCCATGATTATGTATGTCATTTTCTATTTTAAGACTTTTATGATGTATTTAAATGGGTAATTATGGTTGCAAACTCGATTGGAAATTTGAATTGAGATTATGACCATATCTTGAGGGAAAGAATTTTTTTTTGGAAAAAAGGGGGGGGGGGGGGGGGGGGGGTAAAAAAAATTGGTGGTGGGGGATGAGGGATGGGAATTTTTCTCCTCAAGATTTCAGAAATAAAAAAAAGGGGGGGGGGTAAAAAAAAATTTTTTGTAAAAGAAAGGGGGGAGGGGTCAATTCGCAAGTTTGCCCCAACCAAACATTATGAAACCTATACACAATATTCATTACCACAAAACTAAGATCAAGTACAAATTTTTTGTTTCCGTTTTCTAACTTTAGTTTGCCTCTACCAAATGTTATGAAACTTATCCACAATGCTTCTTACTACATAATACAGATTAAGTACGAAATTTGGTGGCGACACTTTTACCATTCTTGAGTATTGTCCCTTTATAAACATAAAAATTGCTGATTTTTTCGTTTCCATTCTCTAACTTTAGTTTTTCTCAACCAAATGTTATAAAACTTATACACAACCGTTCTAGAGTTATGCGTGTTTACAAATAGAAAAATTGCTGAATTTTTAGTTTCTGTTCTCTTCTTAAGTTAGCCTAAACCAAATGTTATGAGACTTACACACAATGCTTATTACCACAAAACTCAGATCAAGTTCAAGTTTGGGTAGCGTCACTTTTACCGTTCTTCAGTTATGTCCCTTTATAACTATATGATATGCAAGCGGGGGCATCATCTGTGGAAACACGTGGACACTATCCACGTTTATTTATTATTTCCTTCTTTGTAATTGATATGCCCTTAAGGGCCCTTTAATTAGGAAATAAAATGATTTATAAGATAAAAAGGGAGAATTAAGAACTGCAGAACTGTTTAATGAAGTGAATGAACTTTACAGACTAGCTGTCTGATTTACTTGTATTTTTATAATTAGACTTTCACATAGCCATTGACAGTTCTTTCCTGTGATATAGTTAGAAAAACAATTCAAACTTAATTGCAGTTGACAGAATGTATTTAATCAATGTAACCTCCAGTGGTGCTAACTAATATATGCAGTGACAGAACACATTAATTTATAACAACTTTTGTTTATAGAAGACCAAACCCTGTCCTGGTGAAGCTGTATATTCTCCAGAATAAGCAAATAGTTTAAAAGTCATATTTGTCATTTAGTAAATGTAAATGTAGGGACTTCCCACACTTTTCAGTTCTCAGTTGCTTGAAAATGAAGTAATTTGAAATTACCTGCACGACTTAATTTTGTGTGTTTATCAGTTCAAACTTTATTTATATTGTGTTATTCATTAAAATTGTATTCATATCACTATATCTCCTAAGGGAGGCTGATAAAGATATATATATATATTACTGATAAAATAATTCGTATGCATCAGTAAAACAAACTAAAAATGTGGAATTTGTCAACTAAAGACTTGTCCATCCTTTTCTAACTTGTCCTGTCTTAAATTAACAGATTTATATGGTTAATGACTATGGAAGATATAATAATTACACTGAAAATCTCCTAAGCTGAAAATAAGTGAATTTATTTTAGAAAACCTTCCCAATTTAGATGTATGCTATTATATTAACTGTGTCATATTCCATTTCCATGATCATTATGTATCATACAATATATTGTTTGCCTCTTTTAGTACAAATATTTGTGCTCTAACAATGTACCTTTAGTAATTTGTTATGCTATCATGATAATCATTGTGAAATTTTTAACCCTAACTGTATTTTAAATGTATGCCCTTTGAGGGTTCATGATTGGTTGATATAATTGGAGTGACAGTTTAGAATTTGAAAATGTATTGTTTCCCTCCTTGTGCTGACAAAGAGTTCACATTCTTTCCAACATCATTTTAATGCAATTTCTTTGGGATAAATGAAGGTCTGTATTAAATTTTATGTTTTTTTTCATCCATTACATATAATGTGTATAACTGATTATTATATGACAAAGGAGGAAATCTTAAGATGATAAGATGAGTGTTAATTATATTATCTTGTATTTATTAAATGTTTGCAAGCTTTGAAACTTGTATATTTGTTAGATATGTTTGTCTTTTGTATGTCTTGGTAACATTATTTTAAATCTGATTCAATAAATTATTTCATTTGATTTCTTTACATCAAGAGATTCATTTTTCCTACAACTGGACGTTAAGCAACCAACAATCAATCAATCATTTTTCCCAAACAACAGTTGAAAAATGAAACAATAAATCAAAGGAAAACTATAAAAAATTGTCATTATAATGTGGGTATTATATATATGTTTTGTGCATTGTTATATTTACATGTACATGTACCTGTATATTTGCCCCTCAGCAGATTTTTACTAAAATTTGACTTTGTATTCCATTTCAACATTGAAAAGCAGTTTATTCAACCACTGATTATGTTTACATGTTTTGTTTTGCAGATTAGGATGAAAACCAGGAAAGGAACAATTTGGTATTAAAATTCAAAGACAGTTGAAATACTTTGAAAAGGAGAAAATAACAACTTGGTGACAAGTTAGGCTTCGATTTAACTCAGATTCACTTAAATAGTAGTATGTGATTAATTTAAAAAAAAATTCAAAGACAGTTGAGAATACCTTGAAATTGAGGAAATTCAACTTGGAGACGACTTAGGCTTCGATTTAACTCAGATTCACTTAAAAAAGTAGTGTGATTAATGGAAGGAGGGATAGACAAATGACACCCCTTAGGAGAAGGAAGACATCTTTAATTATGAAATAAACATGTTTTGATAAACTCAGATCTTGGAGAGAGTTTGGCTTCGACGAATTATCATTAACCATTTTAGTTTCATAAGTGCATTAGACTAGTTTCTTGTGTTTGGAAGAAGACCAGGAATCGAGTAATAGAACTGAAATCATTTGAACAGAACTCAGAAATTAGAATAGTTTAACTCTGATTTAACTGTTGCTCTTTATAACATTCAGACAAGGAATTTTTTAAATGGATTTTTTTAAAAGTATATTAGAAGAGTGTTTTTTTAACTCAAACTTTGGATATAAAAGTTTTTATTGAGTGAAGTGTTAGAAATTTGAAAGGTAGAAGGTACTCAGAATTTTGGAGAAGGGAAGGCTTCGATAAAACTCTTTAATAGAGGATACTCATGCATATTTGTTAAATATTTATTAGAAAAACTTTTTTATTGAATCAACAATTAATGTATGAAATAAGAGTACTGGAGATTTTTGACAATTCACCAATACATTAAGATTGATTATAGCTTCAAGCATTTTACAGAATTGATTGAAACTAGGGTAGTGGCTATTATTTATTGTTTGGAGGACAGAAGGTATTGAAATTGAAAAGAAAGTCAAGACTGTGATTTGTATACAGCATTAAACAAAAAAGGTTGAACAATATGACTGGGCGAGCTAGAGGTAGATGCAGGGGTAGAGCACGAAATGACGAACCAGATGAACCGGCCAGGAGACCAGGAGATAGCCAACCAACAGTAAGATCTTAAGTATTACTCAAATGTATTGAGATAGCCAACTAACAGTAAGATCTTAAGTATTACTCAAATGTATTGAGATAGCCAACCAACAGTAAGATCTTAAGTATTACTCAAATGTATTGAGATAGCCAACCAACAGTAAGATCCTAAGTATTACTCAAATGTATTGACCTGACCTTGTGGTTGTATTTTTAGTACAATTATCATACTCAGACTAGAAATCAACCAATCAAAATACTGGATTTGGTGTTTCGAGCACATATTTTGGTACCCTGAGTATCGAGTAAAGTTTTATGACCGAGAGCCCAGACCTGTAGATATATGATTTATTTTACTCTAAAGTTGTTTGGTACATGTACTGTATATATTTCAAGTTTACCTGTGCCTAGTGGGCATTGCATATTTGTTGGCTGATGTGTGGTAAATCTCAAGATAAATCTTAAACCATAGATGATTATTTGGCATTAAACTCTTGTTAAATATCATGTGAGCAACACACCATGTTCTGTTAAAGTTTGTTAAATACCAGGAGAGCAATACAGCATGCTCTGTTAAAGTTTGTTTTAAATAACAGGTGAGCAATACACCATGCTATCTTGAAGTTTGCTAAAATACCAGGTGAGCAATACACCATGTTCTGTTAACGTTTGTTAAATACCAGGTGAGCAATACACTATGCTCTGTTTAAGTTCACCAAATAAAAGTTTAACTGTGCTTTATGTTACAGCTGTTGTACTTATGCAGCAGGATATTGTGGAAAAAATCATCAAAGTTATTGGTTTTACATATTTACATTCTTTACAGTTGTTTGATTTAAATAGATTCCAGTATTCATCTGTATATACATGTATTAAACAATGAGTATCGTTGAATTAAATTTTCCTTTCAAGTTTGGTGGAAATCAACCAACTGCACCAAGAGGTAGAGGTAGAGGAGGATATAGAAATGAATCACCGCCTGCCAGAATGCCAAATGTTGAGCATGCTGCATCACATCTTGAGCAGATGAGTATTGACAATACGTCAAATCAGTTAAGGAGAAGAAATGAGGATGTGAAACCAAATATGTTCAGTAGTGATGATAATCGTCCTAGTGAGCAAGGTGATGGTTTCAGAGAGGCTGGAGCTAGACCTAGGGAGCAGCTTTTGGCTGGTGATAAAACCAATCCAGATATCTTCAAACAGCAAGGAGCCAGAGCAAAATTCTTTCATGGTAATAGAGGTGGAGATAATCCCCAGATAAGGTACCAGGAACAAGGGAACAGACCAACAGAATCTAAATATCAAGGAAATAGTCCAGCAACACAATCTGTTGTGAGAAGAGGTTAGTGTCATTGACATTTTAAGTAAAAACATTGAAGGCTCCTAAAAAATTATTTTAATTATTTGACTCTCTGCAATACAATTGTTTGTTTCAGAAATTGTCTGTTTTGTGGGTATTTCAACTAGTCAGTTTATCTTATACAAGGTTATACATGTACCCCCTTTTTTGGGACGGTTTGCATGTTTCAAATGATTCTGCAAGCAGCAGGGTAAAGGGTTTCCAAATTATGATAAACTTAAACTTTGGTTCTATTTGTTTTAAAAGCCTCTTACATACAATGTAATATGACATTGATATTAGAAAATGTTATAATGAACCAATATTTCATTTGCCCCTTAAAATGACTTCTTACAAAAAACACATAAACAATTATTGACTTTTTAGCTCACAGGTCTGGCCTAAAAGGCCCAGTGAGCTTTTCTCATTACTTGGCGTCCGTCGTCCCTTGTCGTTGTAACTTTTACAAAAATCTTCTCCTCTGAAATTACTGGGCCAAATTTAACCAAACTTGGCCACACTCATTATTAGGGTATTTACAATGTAGTTTCAAAAATGTGCCCGATGACCCCGCATGCCAACCAACATGGCTGACATGGCTAAAAATAGAACATAGGGGTAAAATGCAGGTTTGGTCTATTATCTTAAAAACCGCTATGAATGGAGAAAATATGTCAGTGGCAAAAATGTTTAGAATGATGAGATTTGCATATTGACTATTTACTTCAAAACTGACAGACGACTGCTTATATGAGTTATTGCCCTTACATGATGAATTTTACCGATTTTTTTCATGTTTGCCTAATATCTGAAAAACTTTAATCAATATGGAGAAACTTTATATACAAAAAATTATCAACAAGAACAAGACAAGATCTAGAAATAAGATTACATGGTCGAAATCATCAGACGACTCTTTATTGGAGTTATTGCCCTTTAATGACAACTTTTATCAACTTTTTGCGTTTTTGCCTAATATCTGAAAAACTATAATCAATAGGGAGAAACTTTATATGTGAAAAATGATCAACAAGACAAGATCTACAAATAAGACCACATGGTCGAAATCATCAGATAACTCCTTATTGAAGTTATTGCCCTTTAATGACTATTTGATCATTTTTTTTGTGTTTTTGTCTAATATCTGAAAAATTATTATGGATAGATAGAAACTCAAAGGGGCACTAGCTGTCAAGTTCATGTTCACCGATTTGACTCAAATTCTCATATTTGATTTATAACAATGTAAAACATTTATCCAAACTATTAAAAGTCTAAAATAAACAGTTAACAGGACATGGGCATGATAACACGTAGCTTCGTTTCGCGCGCATTTTAGTCTAGACGCCATCTAATTAACTATCGAGTTGACCTCCAAAGTCATCAGATGACCATATAAGCGATGTAAACATAAATAAAGATATAAATAGATTAAGCGAACTCATGCTATTTGGTTTTTCTAGGTCTGTTTATTTTCATATTATAGATTAAAAATATATGTTTATCATCGTTTTTACCTGTATAAGAAAGATTTTTTGTGGATCGGATCAGTCAATCAAATGATTTACCTTTGTTTCACTTTCAATGTTGACATTCTTTTCCTTTAAATAACTTTACACATACAATTCACGTGTTATCCATCTCTAGCTAAGGGGTTAAATTGAAGTTCACATGAATACGGATTCAATGAGGTCGAATTATTCACTTGCAAGTGAATAATTCATCATCAATGTTTCTTAAAATTGAGAATGGAAATGGGGAATGTGTCAAAGAGACAACAACCCGACCATAGAACAAGACAAGATATAGAAATAAGATTCTTAGCTTATTTTGACAAAATTGAACCATACTGGTGGCTAGAAGCTAATAATTATTTCACTATTTCACTTTCATTAATGATTGAACAAAAAAAAATCATATATTAGAATTTTTATATATCTCGTAGCTAGTGCCCCTTTAAATAAGCAAAAGTTATCTCCAATACAAGATCTACAAATAAGTTAACAGTCTTGAAATCGTCTGATGACCCCTTGTTGGAGTTATTGCCCTTTGATAATGATTTTAACATTTTTTTGCATTTTTGCCTAATATCTGAAAAATTATAATAGATAGATAGAAACATAAATAAGCAAAAATGATCAGCAAGACTTGATCTACAAATAAGTCAAATAGCTGAAATCATCAGTCGACTATTTGTAGGAGTACTTGCTCTTTAATGACGGTTTTTGCCTACTATCTTCAAAACTATAAAAGACAGATTGACACTTTTCATAGCAAAAATGATCAGCAAGACAAGATCTACAAATAAGTAAAATTTTGCTGAAATTGTTGGTTTACTCTTATAGGAATGATTGCCTTAATTGATATTATTTTACCATTTTTTGTGTTTTGGGCTAAAACTAAAGAAAATAGAGAGAAACTGTACACAGAAAAAAAATATCAGCAAATTACCAGATCAACAAAAAAACATATTTTTGTCAAGAATTCTATTCTAGTCCACAATGTTGGAGAGAATCCATTTTTGAAGATGCTCATAGATTTAGGTGAACGACACAGGCTCTAAACTAGTTCTTGTTGTGTCCAGTGTGCAATGTTAGGAAAACAATTAACAAAACCAATAAAATGTTACATATACTTGTTTTGTCAAAATTACACTAAAAATGATTTAATTTAATTGAAAAAGTAGCAAAAAATGTGAAACAATTCAAATGGGAAAATCAAAAGCCTACTCTATACTAAAACAATAAATTAAAAACAAATACCGTATAGCGGGTTATTTTCGCGGGTGTAAAATTTCGTGATTTAGGGGCAACTAAGTATACAAAAAATTTTGGCGGTTTTTATTTTGGTGGATTCTTAAATCGACACATCAGATTGACAAAAAGCATAAAAAACAACTATCAAAAGACGCAAAGATGCAATGAACTGATGTAAGAGTACTTGCATTTACTGAAAGATAGTTCATTAAATATCATTACAACTAATAACATTTAAAGATAATATCAAAGTCTTGAAATTTAATTTGAATTTAGAAATGATATATTCATTGTATGCATATACCGGTACATGTATTAATGCTATAAGTAAATTTATAGTTGCTTAAATATTTGGTAACATCTACATCATTTGGTCTCTTGTGGATAGTTGTCTTATTGGCAGTCATACCAAATCTCTTTATTTTATATTTTAGGTGTAGGTCTAGGATCAACAAACATCAATAGCAATCATACCACATCTCTTTATTTTATATTATAGGTGTATATAGGTCTAGGATCAACAAACATCATTAGCAATCAATCATACCACATTTTATATTATAGGTGTAGGCCTAGGATCGACAAACATTCAGGTAATAGCCAACGCTTTCCCTGTGGAGTGTACCTTAACTGGGTGGATCCTCTACCAATATCATGTGGATTTTAATCCTCAAGTGGACAGCAAGAAAGTCCGGTGTGCCATGATAGCGGACCACAGGGAATTGTTAGGAGAAACGAGAGCATTTGATGGAATGAAACTGATTATACCAAGGAAACTGTCACAAGAAGTAAGTCATGTGATAGATCATAGATCAGTTAATTCAGTTCTATAAGGTATAAATGGTTACACTTAATTTTTGTTCATTTAAACACTTCTTGATCTCCCAATTTGCTCAATGTTACTGTAAGTTCAGAAATTTTTGGCAAAGTTTTTTTTTTATTGCCAAAATTGTGAAATGAAAGAAGTCAAAAAATTTGTTTTTGTATTTTTAATTTTTGAAAGCCTTATTTCTATATAATATTTTCAGAAATCACAATAATTATTAATCTAGCATTCGTGTCCATTGATCAACATTCACAATAATAAATGCACACAGAAAATACTGTATTTACAGTGCTTTAGTTCAAGTGTTATCTTTTAAAAACACTTTGCATTTTGAGAATTAACTATAAAACTGTTAAATAAACTTTGAGTGGTTCTGGTTCATCTTAATAAAGCAAAATTGGGTTGTTTAATTGTAGTAAGAATGTAGGTCAAATACTAACTTTGATGTTTTATTTGCAGTTGCAATGTAATTTATAAAATTCAGAGTGATGCTTTCGCTTATGAAATAATGTTCCAGAATTCTTTTTTCAGTATTACCCGGTATACTTGATTAATTTTTTTCTTATTTCAATTACATATATTTTTTAATTTTTTTTAATTTTAAAATTTATTCATATGAAAATAAGTAGATGTGATATGATTACCAATAAAAACAACTTTCACCCAAAGACCAAACAACAAAGATTTGAACAATTACACTGGTCACTGAATGGCCTTCAAAAATGAGAAAAAAACTTGTACTGTATAGTTAATTCTAAAAATGATTATAGCAGACCGTGACCCATGACAACCACAGAATACATACTCCTTGCTTGGGACAGGCACATTTGTATGGATATATATCTGTTAAAAAAAATTCCAGAATTTGAGAAAAAACATAAAGCAAGGGAAATAACCTCTATTTTAAAAGTAGTGTTTTTTTTTATTTTTTAAAAATATGTTCAAGCAACTTCTTTATACAAGTCTCAAAACATTGAATTATAAAATCAGAGCTGTTATATTGCTTGTGCAAAATGCAGAATACATGTATCGCAAAATTTTTTATACACAATGACAGTTTTTAAAGGCAGTGCTTTAATGCCTTTCTAGTTGCCGTGTTAATATTTCTTTCCGCGATATCCAACTTATCTACGTGGGGGGTCATTTAGCTCCAAGTAGATCCGGAAAATGTTGATTCTCTCCTCTTCTTATTGTGGTATAAAATGTTTTTTGTCTCATTTCATTTACATTGGGAAATAGAGAAACGATCATTGTGTTTTGTTAGTTTTAAAAACTTTTGATATATTTGTATTTTACATTATAAGCAGTCAACCGATTGACAAACTAGAATTATTTGAATTCCGTGTGGAGAGAGGTCGGGTTAATTTCGAGTGTTATCTGCAATCTAGATGTTTATAAATCATTTCAGTCGTTGATATAATAATTAAAGGTCGACTGAACATGAATTATATTATACAATTTAAAGAGCATTTCTGTTTCTGCACGCGAAACCGTCTAACGTTATTGTTATTTCGCAGTTATATAAAGTAGCAAATTATCGTTCCTGAATAGGTGGCGCCGTGGTAGCCGATTCCGGTTTCTGACTGTGCAACTATTACAGTTGCATTTTTAATTAACGATGCCAAGTACTTGTTGTTGTGTACCTGGATGTCATTTAAGAGGAGGACATACATTTCCAAATGACTTAAAAAGAAGGAAAAGTTGGATCAACGCCATGGCCCATACGCAGATTGGACGAGAACACGATGAAATCGTGGAGTCCATCTCAATCAGCTGTTGTTTGCAAGGCACATTTTACTGAAAAAGACTACGTGCAGGAAACTATTCATGGTAAAACTTTATTTTCTTTTTAAAATATATAGTTATATATGTAATCGCCATGCGAATAAACCAAAGTCAGTTTACAACCGCAATTATCGTTTTAGAATAAAAGGGGGTGGTTAATTCAAGACGTCATAATTTTTTTGGATTACGATTCAATGTGATCTGTTTGAGAATTTGGTGCTTGCTACAATTATAATGATTTCTTACAAGAGGTATATCATACTGAGAATTATTTTAGCAGTAATTATGCTTATGTAGTAATGACAGGAATGCATAAGCTATGCCTCATAGACTTTCTTGAAAAATATCAATGACAATGTTAACAGGAACAAAACAATGACATGCTCTCATCTATATTATAGTTATTTAGGTACAAACAATGTATGTTTGTTGCATACGTCTCTCATTGTTTGTCCTTTGGATTTACATAACATACATTTTGATGTACATTGAATCAGGCTAACATAGTTTTATCCAGATTGTAATGAATAAATCTAGTTAATATTTTGCCAGGTTACGAGTACAAAGGAATTATAGTTATCTCGTACCATTGTAACTCGTACCAATGTCAACTCGTACCACTAAACAAAAACTCGTACCACTGCTAACTCGTACCACGGTAAATTCATACCATTGTAAACTCGTACCAACTTATTTAAATGCATTCAAATGGTGTTTAATGATGAATATATACTTTAATTTCACTCAATACCTCTCAAGTCTGTAAAATGTATATAATTTGAAATTACAATAACCAATTTGTAGCTAATTTTCCTTGTCTAATTGGATAGAGAAAACCGTGGCAGATTGGCTTTGTTGTCTCCCTTGAATAGACTCTTTTTTTAAACTTTTACTGACAACTATTTGATTTAATTTTTAATCATTCCAAATCAGTAACATTGAATAGATTTGGGTATTTTTCTATTGTTTCTAAAAGGAATTTTATTTAATGAAAGAATTTATTGATTGTGTTTTAAAGGTTTAAAATTGTTTATGACCAACAGTTAGAAAGTATGAAATTTATTTTTATACAATATTCAGCACATTTCAGCAGAATATGACCATGCTTATATGATTGTACAAGTTGATTAGTTAAAGATAAAAAAAAACAAGTTGATTGGTTAATAATCAACCAATAATCACACAATCAAAGGAATTTAATATATTTATTAGCATGGTAATTAAGAAATTACATTTGTATTTTTGTCTAAGTTTTCATTAAAATCTGGTATAAATTTCAAAGATATTTTAATTTTTTGTATAAAGCTTAAAAAAAAAATAATCATAAAACATTCGTATTTTTGTCTAAGTTTCATTAAAATCTAGTATAAAATTCAAGTAATTCAACTTTTTTTATTTAGTTTACCAAAAAAAAAATCATAAAACTTTCGTATTTTTGAATATATTTTTAATGGTACGAGTTTGCAGTGGTACGAGTTCTGATTGGTACGACTTCCCAGTGGTACGAGTTTACGTGGTACGAGTTTACAATGGTACGAGTTAACTTGCTTCTGTACGAAGTATGCATTGCTAATGGAAGTTCATTTAATTATCAAAAAACTAATGTTTTATAACCTTTTTCAGGGCACAAACCCACCATACAGAGACTTAAGTCTACTGCCAATTCCAGCCTATTTTCCTGGACCAAGCAAGAGACTGAATCGTCCGCAAAAAGAAAAATCAGGGCAGTTTCCTGTGAAAACAAAAGAACTAAACTTGATGAATATTGTAGTAGAAATCTAGAGGAAAGTTTTGATTGTAAAGTTGGTTTTCCTGAAGAAGTAATTCATACTGCAGACAGGATTTATGACTGTCCACCACCAACTGCCGAGCTAATGTTGAGCTTCACAGATGGAATTACGCAAACACCATCAATGCCTATATTTTCAGCAGAGAATTTTGAAATGAATACACGTGACACAGCCATGCATTTTTATACCGGTTTAGAGTTGTATACTAAATTTTTATTTGTTTTGACCACACTTGGTCCAACAGCACATTGTTTGAGATACATATATTTTCAAATTGATAGGGTGTCATTTGAAAATCATTTTTTTTATGACTTTGATGAAATTGATGCATTATACAACCAACTTTGAACTGTCTAGATTCTAGATTGAAACTAGTGTTAAGAATATTATGGAAACATGGATTGTTTTTATGTCTAAACAGTGGCGTGAGGCTAACACTTGGCCATTTAGTGGTTTAGTCAGGTATTTTTCGCCATCCAACTTAGAATTAAAGTTTCCTACAACTTGGATTATTATTGACAGCACAGAATATCCCGTGATAAAACCTAAAGCTCCTAGAGCTCAGGCAACCTTTTCATCATATAAAAACAGAAACACTGAAAATACTTGTATGTTCGACACCTGGTGGTTTAGTCAACTATGTCTCTAATGCATATGTTGGTTGTACCAGTGACTGTGAAATAGTTGAAAGATGTAGAATAGTTCAATTATGTGATCCAGGTGACAGTGTGATGGCAGACAAAGGTTTAAATGTGCAAGATTTGTTTGCTCACTTTTTTCAAAAAAAGAAACAGAATTAGTTCCAAAACTCTTATACGGGATAGAAAAGTCTCCAATTAACACGTGCACATAGAGCTAATTATTGGACTTGGCAAAACATACAAAATTCTAATAAATCCTATGAATGGAACTGAAACAAAACTTTCATCTGAAATAACATTTAGTTGTTTTTGTTGTGTAATTTTAGAACTTGTATTGTGCCAAAGGATGCATAAATAAAAGTGATGCAATGAAGTTTGTTCTGATATATATATATAAATATTATTTACAATTACATGCACATGTAAATTGTAATGCATATAAAAATAAGGAGATGTGGTATGATATTCAGTGAGTTTATCGAACCAAAGTGCATAAGAAATGGGTTAAGCAGTTACAGGTGTTACTGTCACCATACAATCTCCAACAATTAGAAAAACTTGTACCGTGTAAAAAATTTCAGAGATCTTACAACTAAGTTTTGTTGTCTCACCTTGACTTTGGTGAATTGTTTATATCTGTTGATGTAAATATAAAAAGAAGATGTGGTATGATTGCCAATGAGACAACTCTCCACAAGAGACCAAATGACACAGAAATTAACAGCTATAGGTCACAGTACGGCCTTCAACAATGAGCAAAGCACATACCGCACAGTGAGCTATAAAAGGCCCCGAAATGACAATGTAAACAATTCAAACAAGAAAACTAACGGCCTAATTTATGTACAAAAAATGAACGAATAACAAATATGCAACACATAAACAAACGACAACCACTGAATTACAGGCTTCTGACTTGGGACAGGCACATACATGTACATACAGAATGTGGCTGGGTTAAACATGTTTGCGGGATCCCAACCCACCCCCTAACCTGGGACAGTGGTGTAACAGTACAATATAAGAGCGAACTATAAAAATCAGTTGAAAGAGGCTTAACTCATCAGATGGATAAATACAAATACAAGTGGACGTGGCCGGGTAATTGTACATCCAAACAACAAAAAGACACTAAGTACAGATCTGATAGTACTCGCATTTACTGACAGCTAGTTCAAAGCCACAAACAACTGATAAAAAAATCTTGCATCTAAGACTAAATTATCAATCCGTAAGCTCCCTTTAGAATTTTATAAATTTTAGATTTTACATTTCTGAGTTATGGGGTTTTATTCATTAAAAAGGGGGGGATTTTCCAGTTTTTGGACAACAACTCAAAAATGCTTTAAGCAGTTCGCATGAAACTTTGGTGAAATATTTATAGCTATTGATGTAATCTCCCTATTGATTTTCATAAATTTCAAATATGACATTGAGAAGAAATTGAACTTTATTTGTTTATAGTCTGGCAACAGATTTATTAAGTATTGCGCAACAGCACAGTGTATTGCACAACAGCAAGAAATCTTTAATTGAATATAAATTCAATTCATATAACCGATTTCAAGTTCTTTGACTACATTTATTCAGAAACTATAATATGTCAAATATTTAATTACAATCCAAATTCAGACCTGTATCAAGCTTGAATATTGTGTCCATTTTTGCCCCAACTGTTCAGGGTTGGACCTCTGTGGGTGTATCCAGCTGCGCTCAGCGAATCAGTTTATTACTTAATCAAGGACTCCGTTTTGTCGAGCCTGCGACTTTTGTCGCAGAAAGCTCGACATAGGGATAGTGATCCGGTGGCGGCGTTAGCTAACTTCTTAAAAGCTTTATATTTTAGAAGGTGGAAGGTCTGGTTGCTTCATACTTTGTATATGGATGCCTCATGTTACGAAGTTTCCGTCAGTCACATGTCCAATGTCCTTGACCTCATTTTCATGGTTCAGTGACTACTTGAAAAAAAAGTTAAGATTTTTTGTAATGTTAAATTCTCTCTTATTATAAGTAATAGGATAACTATATTTGGTATGTGCGTACCTTGCAAGGTCCTCATGCACGTCAGACAGTTTTCACTTGACCTCGACCTCATTTCATGGATCAGTGAACAAGGTTAAGTTTTGGTGGTCAAGTCCATATCTCAGATACTATAAGCAATAGGTCTAGTATATTCGGTGTATGGAAGGACTGTAAGGTGTACATGTCCAACTGGCAGGTGTCATCTGATCTTGACCTCACTTTCATGGTTCAGTGGTTATAGTTAAGTTTTTGTGTTTTGGTCTGTTTTTCTTATACTGTATGCAATAGGTCTACTATATTTGGTGTATGGAATGATTGTAAGGTGTACATGTACATGTCTAGCTGGCAGGTGTCATCTGACCTTGACCTCATTTTCACGGTTCAGTGGTCAAAGTTAAGTTTTTGAGTTTTGTCTTTTTTTCTAATACTATATGCAATAGTTCAACTATATTTGGTGTATGGAAATATTTTATGATCTATATGTCAGTCGCGCAGGTTTTTTTTTACCTTGACCTCATTTTCAAGGTTCATTGCTCAGTTTTAAGTTTTTGTGTTTTGGTCTGTTTTTCTTAAACTATAAGCAATAGGTCAACTATATTTGTTGTATGGAAGAATTGTTAGCTGTACATGCCTGCCTAGCATGGTTCATCTGACCTTGACCTCATTTTCTTGGTTCATTGGTCAATGTTTAGTTTACTTGGTTAATGTTAAGTTTATGTGACAGTTGTAATAAAGCTTTATATTTAGGACTATCAACATAATATCAAGTATTAGTAAAGAAGGCGAGACATTTCAGCGTGTGCACTCTTGTTTCATTCATAAATTACTTTATACTTGGAAATATAAATTTGCTTGGAGTTATAGTTTCTAAAAAAAGTATTGTCATTGAAAGAGTTGACATGTTGCAATGTACATATATTCTACATAGTTCTATGGTACCAAATCAAAAGTTTATATTAAAGAAAGAAGTCAAAGGTTTCCTATCATAGTTTAGTTACATACATTTTTTTTGTACCTGAGGTCGTTGAATATAGATCATTATATAAATAAGGAGATGTGTTATGATTGCCAATGAAACAACTATCATCCATACATTGTACTTACCAGTAACAAACCACATTTGCAAAGTTGAATAAAATACAGTTGATAACATTTACTTATTACTTAAAAGAAAATGCCAAACTATTTTAAACAGTATTTGACTATAAACATAGATAAAAAAGGTACAAACTGGACATAATGCACTAGTTCATAAACAAGTGAGAACAATCGCCTTCATATAGTGCTCAAATATGACATTCATAAAACTTGTTCAATATCATTAGAGAACTCTAAATCTTAAATACTGAAAGCCACCTCTGATAAGTACAATGTAATATGCAAGATAATGATATAACTGGACTAAAAATACACACAACCTGTAATTAACTGCCTTTACAGCGCTTTCGCGCTTTGATTCATTACTTGTATATGGTATGATGTAACGTTATTTGATGTGGTCAGTGATTATAATTACCTGAAGGGCAATGACAATTGAATATGTTTGGTTTTACAGGCTGTCAATGAAAGCAATATATTTGATAAAAGATATTACATATTCAGATTGATATTTCTGACAGTTACATTATTGTAAAAAGGATGCTATTAAAAATATTAACTGTTGTACATAACTTCCTAAAATCCCAGATAAATCCTCAATACACAAAGATGGGAAAGTACATGTACATTTGTAGAGGTTCTGTTGGGACATTGTATCAAGTGTATGATTTCTTTTCAATGTTTATAAACATACTACAATGAACACTATCAATCCCCTCCTAACAGTACTTACAATAGTCTAAGAGTTGTTGACTGAAATCATAAATGCTAAGTCTTAAATGTTCTGCCAACCTTCTTGGGAAATAATAATTTGTTATCCTCTTTAAGAAATTATGATGACAACCATATCTGCTGTAGAATACACTGCTGTCACTGTACTAAAAATAAAAATAATATCAAACAAGAAATCATTTAAAAAAAAATTTTAATCCACTGAATTCAAAAAGAAATTCTTACACCAAGAATAGATTTACAGATTCCTTTTAAAAATTTTAAAATGACCATATTGACTGATATTTGAATTCATTTTCTTGGGAATGTGTATTATTAGGCAATTTTGAATCGCAGTTTAGTGGATAATATGAAAGGGGGTCTCAATGGGGGGTGGGGGGATGGTCTGATCCCGGATCTAGCTTATTGTTTTGTCAGATTCCCGTATCCTGCTTATCATTGAAATAGTAACGCTTGTAATTTCACGTGTCCTGCCCAATTTCATTTCCCGTTTGCATGCACAATAATTTGACTTTCACGTTTCACGCTTACAAAAAATCAGCCAATCCCGCATCACGCTTAGACCCCAATGAGACCCACATGAAAGGGTTTATAATGAATACATGTTCTCAAACTAGTTGAATTATATTCTTAACACTATATATTCAGGTGTGATTGTGCTTTTTCTTTAAGCAATGTAATCAATTAAACATATTTGTCTTACAGGTGACAGAAGTTTATAGTGAGATGAGGTCTGATGGAACTAAAATCAGAATTACAATTTCGATGACCAATGAGATTCCACCAGTCAGTGCAGAGTCCATCAATATCTTCAATATTATCTTGAAAAGGTCTGGCTAAATCAATGATTACTAAATTATCTGAATGCATACAGATTTCAAGACTAAAAGGTTTTGAAGTTCACAATCTATATACCGGTAGTTGTTAACTATAAAATTCATTGAAATAGTTTTTTTGGGTAAAGATTACACTAGTAAGATATTTTTCTGCCATTTTCTCTTGCTCTGTTTATGTAAATAAATGTGAGATGAAGATTCCATAGATCCTTTTTATGTCAATGTCAAGCAATTTATGGATAATGTATTTAAGCTTATACAGATGTACACTCTATTTACACGAAGGTGTGTACCTGTATGTTTGTTACCATACTTACTGAGAAAACCATTTTAATAAAAAAAAAAAAAACACAAAAAGCATGATCTAAGACTAGCAATAATTTATAACAGAGGGAGCTCACTCTATTCAAACACTGCCTAAATGTCTCTTGGAATAGTAAAGTTGTAAATGCGAAATGATAGTTATCAATACCGCCTCAGAGTTCACAAGTACCTTAATATTTCGCCATTTCAGAATTTAAAGGACTATGGGTAATTTTATTGTTCGTCCCTAAAATGAAAATAACGTCACATCATTGGATGAATTTCCATTGTTTATGACATTTTTATACGACCGCAATCAATTTTTTTTGCGTCGTATATTGGTATGATGTCGTCATCGTGCGAAGACAAATTTGGTTTCCGGACAATAACTTTAGTTCAAGTGAATGGATCTCTATGAAATTTTACCAGAAGGTTCAATACCACAAAAGCAAGGTTGGGATTGATTTTGGGGTTATGGTACCAACAAGCATTTTTGATGTTTCCGGACAATAACTGGTGTGTAAGTGTATGGATCTTTCTGAGATTTTACCACAATGTTCCATATCACAAAAGGAAGGTTGGGATTGAGTTTGGGGGTAATTGCCCTAAACGTTCTGGAATTAGGGGCCAAAAACAAGCATTTTCTAGTTTCCAGACAATAGCTTGTGTTTATGTGTATGGATCTCTCTGAAATTGTAATGCATGGTACCATTACACAAATGGAAGGCTGGGATTGAGTTTGAGTTTAATTGCCTCAAACGTTCAGGAATTGGGGGCCAAAAAGGGGTAAAAAACAAGAATTTTTCTAGTTTCCAGACAATAACTTGTGTTTAAAAGTATGGATCTTTCTGAAATTGTACTGCAAGGTACCATACCACAAAGGGAAAGCTGGGATTGAGTTTGGGGGTATTTACTAAAAGGGGGAAACAAATATTAGGGGGGGGGGGGGGGGTTCATAATTCTTTGGGGTTTTTTTTTTCTTAAAATTGTCCATTTTTGCATTTATTATTTCTGATTTATATTTAAAAGCAAAAAATACTGATATGGCCGGAGATACACACCAAACATGAAGTGTAAATTATTATATGAAGTATTGTGCAACAGCACACTATTGCGCAATAGCAGGAAATCTTCAGTTGCATAGTATTGTGCAATAGCAAGAAATCTTCAATTGCATAGTATTGCGCAATAGCATAATATTGCACAATAGTAAGAAATCTTCAATTGCACAGTATTGCGCAATAGCAAGAAATCTTCAATTGCACAGTATTGCGCAATAGCAAGAAATCTTCAATTGCACAGTATTGCGCAATAGCAAGAAATCTTCAATTGCACAGTATTGCAGAATAGCAAGAAATATCCAATTGCACAGTATTGCGCAATAGCACATTATGATAGTGCCCAATAGCCAGAAATCTTCAATTGCATAGTATTGCCCAATAGCAAGAAATATCCAATTGCACAGTATTGTGCAATTGCAAGAAATCTTCAATTGAAAATTAATACAAATATTTCAACCCATTTCAAATTTTTAAGATTTTTCACCACATTTGTTTTGTGTCAGAAACCTATATTATGTCAAAAATTTTATCACAATCCAAATTCAGACAGTATCAAGCTTGAATATTGTGTCCAAACTTGCACCAACTGTTCAGGGTTCGACCTCAGTGGTCGTATCAGGCTGCTCTCAGCAAAGCATTTTATTAACCAATCAAGACGTTTTGGTATACACTTTTGAAAATGTTACCCAGAATGCATTAGATTCTGAAACGGCGAATTGTGACATTGTAGAAAGCTTAGTATATAACTGCTTGATTGTAAAATTAGTTTTGAAATATAGTAAAGTAAGTTAAAAAGGAAGACAATCAGTAGATTACATTTTTTGTCTGTAAATTTCTGATTCCATCATTTTGATATGGAATAAAAGAACAAAAAATCGTTAGAAGTCAGTAGAATTAAAATATAAATTTATTTTCTAGAGCACAGAGAATGCTTGGGAGTGAACAGATAGGAAGGAACTATTATAATCAGAACTTAAGAAAAACAGATACAACCTATCGGTAAGTAAAGAAAGTATCCAGTAATTTTGAGTCCGAGTATTGTGGAAGGAGAAGGGTACGAGGAGGCAAGTTTTGGGTTCTTTGATTAAATAAAATCTATCAAACATTACAATGTTTACAAGCACATGACTCAAGACCATATTCCTTCAAACTTCTTATCGTTCTTGACATGCATGAAATATTTGCCACTGGACATTAAGCTTATATCCAATCCATCTAATATAAAATACCTCATTTAATTGAATTAATAATCATATACAATCATATACTTACCAACAAAATTATTTTCATTTACCTGTGTATTCTATGACACAGGTTTCTTCAAAAGTGATGATTTTCTAAAAATTGTTTGACATTTCACAGTGATATCATACTTTAACTTTGTTTAAACCTGTTTTATTTACTTTTGACTTTAATTATTTATCCCTTGTAATTTTTTATTAACTGTGTATTTGCATTCAGGTGTCACAGGTCAAATTTATTCGTTCATTGTGTGTTAATTTACGTTTTTTGATTGAGTTAAGCCTTCCAATTGATATTCTATAGTGTGGTTTTCTATGTTGTGATGTTATACTACTGTTTCAGAAAAGGGAGAAGGTTTGGTACCATTAAAACGTTTAATCCCGCTGTAAATGTTTGCACCTGTCCTAAGACAGGAGTTTTTGTTTGTTTATGTAGTTCATACGTGTTTCTCGTTTCTCGTTTTTATATAGATTAGACCGTAGGTTTTTCCCTTTGAATGGTTTTACACTAGTAATTTTTTGGGGCCCTTTATAGCTTGCTGTTCGGTGTGAGCCAATGCTCCGTGTTGAAGGCTGTACCTTGACCTATAATGGTTTACTTTTATAAATTGTAACTTGGATGGAGAGTTGTCTCATTGGCACTCATACCACATCTTCCTATATCTATATCAGCAAAAGTCTTACACAAAAATATTTTATGAAAAGATGGTAATGTGGGTAAAATATCTGTAGCTTTTATTTGAGTGATTTCTGAGTAAAGCTAGACCCATTTATCTAGTATAATAATTACTAAGCACCACAGTGGCATCAGAGATGACATCCATCTGCAAGCAAGTCATCAGACTATCATTTTATTGTGCTATCTATGAGATCAGCTCCGCTAAAAGAATTTTTTGGAAGGGACAAATTTTCCTTTTCAAACCAGTCAAGTTAACTCAGAAAATATTTTTTTACAAACAACTACAAAAAATTATGTGTTTTATAAAGAAGTACAAAATGTATATGTCTAATGATGAAAATATCGCTCAATAGACGGTGCGTCAGAAGCGTTTTTCTAAATTCTCAAACCAAAGAATATTAAAGGCACTGGCTATGATTACCCGCAAAAAGTAGCAATAAGAAATAGTTATTGTTACTTAAGAGACTAATGGGCGAAATGTATTTCCGAACAGAGAAATACGGAAATTGCAAGTAACAATAATATATTTATTTTATTTTTACCTGCAGTTATTGTTACCTGCAGAATATATTCAGACAGGCACTGGTCTAAAAAAGATGTTTGATTTGCCAACAATCTGTTAAAAAAACTTTAATATGGTTTAACTTCCAGATGTATTTGACGTTCACTTTTGCCAAACGGAGTCAATTAAAACAAAGCACTATAGACCACTTTCGAATTTGTTCATTCTTCCGTCAATGTCACAATTGTGCTTATGCTATTACATCACAGTAAGCACTGATTGTTTGATTGTTTGATGACTTCCTCTATGCAGATTGATCTCTGATCAACCGGTGTAACTTATTCATTAAAAAAAACCTCGAGAGTGGTGTATTCAGAATGGAACTGCTTATTGTGCGGTATAGACATGCATATATATATGGATCTAAAATTTGCGACGGGTGTCTGGAGTGGTACCACCTAAAGTGTGTTGGCCTCAAAATCCCACCTATGGCTACTTTCTTGATGTGCAGGTAGTGCCGCCAAAATAAATATCGAACAGAATTGTAAATATATATAAATGTGCTTTCATTTTATCATTACTTTGTTCAATAAATAATTTTCTCTTCGGTCATATCAATTTGTTAAAAAAAAAACCTATACGGGACAATGACAAGAAGACAGTACAAAGTATCCCGATGTGAAACACAGAAAAGACATAATTTGTAAATGTATAATTTTGCAGGTAACAATAAAAAATGAAATTATTGTCTCCTGTCCTTAGACACATTTCGGCAATTAGAGTAGGAGTAACAATAATTATTTCTTATTGTTACTTTTTGCAGGTACTGTGGATTCATGTATTTTCATAGATACCAATTTTCATGGATTAAGGAAAACTTACATGTCCGTGGATATTTAATTTCGTGGTTTTTTACAATGTCTGCATACAAGCCTATATAAAATATGTCATTCGTTGAACATTTAATGTCGTGGTTAACCTATAACCATGAAATCCACGAAAAATTAGTAGCCAACGAATAATAATGAATCCACAGTAATTGTAGCCAGTGCCAATATTAAAAGCCAATGATGCAAAAATGCTTGATTGCATGAGGACCAAGTTGAAATGTCTGTTGAAATTGTAAAATAATTATTTTGATATTAGTTAGAACTAATCTGAAAATATTAGCTATTTGGGGATAGGGGCAAAACAAAAATCTTAATTAAATATTTCATGTTATTCAATACTGACAAGATTGAAGAATTTTGATTATACATTGAAGTATGACAAAATATTTATTACAGCATGGATATTATACCAGGATTTTTGGCAGCCATTCAGAAGTTTGAGGCTGGCAACCTTCTGCTATTAGATGTGGCCCACAAACTGCTACAAACTGACAGTATATTGACACAGATGACTAACCTATATCACCTTTATAAACACCAGCAAGATGGAGATAATAAGTTCTGGGATAAATGTAAAAAACAGTTTATTGGTGCAATTGTTCTCACCAGGTGACTTTAGATTTTATAGAGTAGATTCACAAATTGATAAATATTTAAGAAAGTAATGAAACATGAGCTTGCATAAATAGAATAGATGTGACAAACAAAAATATTGATTCAGATAAAATTCCATTAGACACCAATGAGTTTTACAGCCTTCTATATGTATGTCTTTCTTTAGGGCCTCAGGGAAGATTAGTTTGCTATAACTAACTGAGTTTAATTACCCTCTTTAAATAAAGAATTTATTATTATTGTTATTATTATTCCAAGTAATGTTACACATATTTTGCAAAGTTTGAAATTTTACTGATTGTGTATATTCAAATTTAGAATTGTTTCAAAAGCATGCAAAAATCTAAAATTATTATATCTTACCATAGTATTTTTGCTTCTCAAATGATTAAAATTGGCAAAAAGCTTCCTTAAAGACAACTAAACCTAGCTCAACTGCTAATGACTGGCTAAGCACAACTCAAGGTAAACAATCCTGTCACACAACCATTTCTAAAACACCTTGATGAACCCATGATTTATTAATGGGGATCATTTGCAGTTTTTGGCAATCTATTTTAATAATTTAAATTACCTTCACATACATACATTTAGAATATCATGAATATATACATTTATTACATTGGCAGCAATGAATTACATTGATTTCCCAGTTAAATAAAAACCGATAATTTCACATGTGAAATAAACGTGGTTATTTCACTCTCTGACGTCATACAACAATAGGCGTTGTCAAGACGTCGATAACGTCGGATCAAAACAAATTGTGAATGCGTAGAAAAAAGATATAGTTCCTTACATTTTCTACATTAATTTCATTAAAAAAAGCCATTTGCCAATGTAATAAAAAGAATAACTAATCAAAGAATTCAAATATCGAAAAATATTCAACTCGTGACCGAACAACACTGATAATTAACTCATGCGCTACGCGCATTCGTGAATTAATGTGTTGTTCGGTCACTCGTTGAATATTTTTCTCTATTTGAATTCTTCAATTAGTTATTCTATAAATGTTTTAATTTTTCGAAAAATTTGACAGGTACAACAACAAGACATATCTCATTGATGATATTGATTCAGATAAAACACCGTTAGATACTTTTGAACTCGGGAATGGTGAGACAATATCCTACGCAGATTATTATAGGAAGCAGTATAATATAACTGATCTAGATGAGACACAACCAATGTTAATAAGTCGTCCAAAGGAAAAAGATAAACGAGTTGGAAGGACTGGTCTAATCATCTTGCTTCCACAACTGTGTTACGTCACTGGGTTATCAAATGAAGTAGAAAATGATTTTAAAGCCAAAACTAGTATTCAGGCATTAACAAGGGTTGCACCTCAGCAGAGAGTTCTGTCCCTTACTGAATTTGTACAACAGATTCAAACGTAAGTTTAAGCTTTTACTGTGAAACTTGTCCTAAATTTTATGTTTTGATGAAAGATTTTGTTGATATTTGACAGGTTTTGGAATTAAGTAGGTCGAATTACTAAGAATATTTGTATTATGTTCCAATACCAGAGTTAGGTCCACAGATTTTACTGTAAAATTTTTATACAATCAAATTAAAGACAATGAGAAGTTTGTTTGTTGGTGACTTTTACTGCCACTTGGCTATATCATGTTTGTCAGAGTTTATTGGTAGAGGAAGCTGACGTATTTGGAATGAACCACAGAATGGGTTGGGTAATAAGGGTTAAAAGAAAAGGCTGAAGTTACCAAGAGGATATTCAAAACTCATAAGTGGAAGAATAACTGACAACTCCATGACAAAAAAAAAAGATGAACAAATACTGTGGATTCATCTACTTTCGTCGGTACCAATCTTCGTGGATTGAGGAAAACTTATATGTACCTGGATATTTAATTTCGTGGTTTTTCCCAAGTCGGCATACAAGCCTATAGAAAATTTGTAATTCGTTGAACATTTAAATTTGTGGTTCATCTGTTCCCACGAATTGGTATCCAACGATTAATAATGCATCCGTACACAAAATACTACATTGAAAACTAAAGATTAAGTAATACCAAAAACCTGGGATAAACTAATCCAGATCGAGAGGCAAACACATATCGGGGCCTTTTATAGCTGACTATGTGGTATAGGCTTTGCTCATTGTTGAAGGCCGTACAGTGACCTATAGTTGTTAATTTCTGTGTCATTTGGTCTCTTGTGGAGAGTTGTCTCATTGGCAATCATACCACATCTTCTTATTTTTTTTTATACATATTGCTACAAGAGAGGTTTGAAACCCACAGCCTCAGAGTTGACAAGACATTAGATGTTTCATGACTTTAAAATGTTCTTCTTTTACCAATGTTCCCTTATGGATAGCTTTCTCTCCTTCAGATACACATAGTTTTGAAATTGAATCCTTTTGTAAATTTTAATTCTTTATAGGGTTTTTGGGGGTAAAGATTTCATGAAATGCAATCAAAACCCAGATGCTACTGGCTTAATATCTGTATCTTCTGAGTTTATCATGTAACCTTTGATAATTAAAACAACATAGTGCAATGATGTAAACGTTCTTCAGATCCTATCCAGCCAATGTCATGGAATTTGTTTATGATAAGTTATCCTCAAAAATTCATGTTACAAAATAATATGTATAACCATACTTTTTAAGAAGACTATGTTATTAAAATTACATAAGTTGTGCAAGGTGATGGAACTATCCCTGTCTTTCCTTGACAAGAAATGCTAAGTATTTAACACATTTTCTGTAGTTAATATAGAATTAGAACACCTTTTTATGTTTACAGGAATAAAGATGTACAAAAAATGATGAAAGATTGGAATTTAAGAATACCAAATAAGGCTCTTGAAATACAAGCTAAACTGCTGGATCCAGAAATCATCAGACAAAATGATGTACAGGTAAATAGGATAGCAATGGGTATTAGATTAACATCATCAGTGTTCTCCCCAGGCCAATATGATGCTGCGGTCCCACAGCACCTTCCAAATATTTTTGTCGTTCCTGCAGCGCTTACATTCCAACGCAGTGCCTTAAAAGATAATCATGCAGTGTATTAATTTTCATATTTAATTAGGAACTGTTGATAACTTTTGTAAAATTAAAGATCGCCGCTGAGAAGAAAATCAATATTACACCGAATTACGCAATTATTGATTGACTCCAGTCTATCCTTTACCTGTATTTACCTTAATTTTAACTGTTTATAAATAGACTTTGATATCAACATGATCAATGTGTTTAATATATGTTTAAATTGATTATATTTTATCTTATGATAATTTATAAAAAGGGTACATAATTAAACACCTAGCCTGTCATAAAGCACCTTCAAAATTCTCTGGGGAGAACACTGATCATAGGTATTAAAGGGTATTATTAATGCCATGGAAGGTTTTCTTTACAAACAAACCTAGATGGACTTAGGTTTGCTGATGCTAAAATTAACCTACTTAAAACTAAGAGGAATAATTCAATAGATATAGTAAAAAAATTTAAAAGTCAGTTCGAACTCATTCTTTTTAATTTGAAAATTTTCCGTGAACGATGAATCAGTCTCTATTATACATTAGCTTAACAGAAGAAAAATAATGATGTATAAGTTGAATTTTCTTTATCCATGAAACTCATAAAATACAAGGTATCCATTCTACCTCTATGGTATTGCTGAAACATACAAGACATAATCTTTAAATCAGTTTAATTGAGGTCTGGAGCTGGCATGTCAGTAACTGCTAGTAGTCTGTTGTTATTTATGTATTATTGTCATTTTGTTTATTTTCTTTTGTTTCCTATTCTGACATCAGACTCGGACTTCTCTTAAACTGAGTTTTACTGTGCGTACTGTTGTACGTTTGTTTTTTCTACATTGACTAGAGGTATAGGGGGAGGGTTGAGATCTCAAAAAACATGTTTAACCCTGCCGCATTTTTGCGCCTGTCCCAAGTCTGGAGCCTCTGGCCTTTGTTAGTCTTGTATCATTTTTAATTTTAGTTTCTTGTGTATAATTTGGAGTTTAGTATGAAGTCCATTATCACTGAACTAGTATACATATTTGTTTAGGGGCCAGCTGAAGGACGCCTCCGGGTGCGGGAGTTTCTCGCTGCATTGAAGACCCATTGGTGGCCTTCAGCTGTTGTCTGCTCTATGGTCGGGTTGTTGACTCTTTGACACATTCCCCATTTTCATTCTCAATTTTATTGATGGTATAAATTGGTAACTAATCAAAGCATTGAAAATATCATGTATCTCGGTTTGTGACATTTATATGCAATTTAAACATGTAAAGGATGTACTCGGGTCAGGTTTAGGAATTTTAGTCAGATGTTTGGACTCCTTGGGTTTTTTTCCTACGATACAGGATATAAAATATATTGCCGCATATCACCCACTTTTCTTTTCATAGAAGACCTCAATAGCTCATAAAAAGGCCATTACCAAAATTTAAGCAGATTCTAGATTTTTCTTTTTATGATTTGTGACGCAAATAATGCCAAAGCTAAATATAAGGAAAAAGTCCGAGGCAGCATTTTCCCGATATTTAAAAAAAAAATCAAATATCTCAAAAAGGAGTTCCATAACCTATCAATAGTTTTAGCTTATTATGTTCCTTAACTAATGATCTTCTGACTTATAGTATCAATTCTAAATTCTAGATTTTTTTAATTTCACATAAGTACATCCTTAAAGGGAAAAGCATGATGTAAGACAATGTATTAATTAAATAAATGAAGCTTAATATTTATCCGTTTTTTACATTTTTAGTTGAGATATGACCAATCAAAACCTGACTGGTCTAAAGACATGAGAAGTAATCTGTTGACAACAGCAGTCAGTCTGAAAAACTGGGTCATTATATTCTCTAAAAAGAATCGTGGAACAGTTGTAGATTTCATTGAGGCTCTAAAACGTGTTGGACCTCCCATGGGAATTCATGTTACACAACCTGTAGTGTAAGTACTGCAGTAAATAATTAAATTGAAAAATAAAATTGTTTCCTTTTACTGTATATAGATTGTAAATTCAGAAATTATTGCATGTATTAGTTATTGCAATTTTTTAAGAATGGCAAATTATGCGAGATTAATTATTTGATTTAATGAAAATCTGCATACAGATATATGTATCTGGTATTATAATACAAGTTCTTATTATTACGATACTCACACAGTTGCATTATTCGCATTAATAAAAACATTGCAATAATTTCTGAATTTATAGTATACCGTATATTCCATTACTTCTAATTAGACCTATAATAATATGAGATGTTGGAGTCACCGAGGAATTTAGAAATAATCCAAAAGTAACATTTCTATATTCTAGATTATCTTATTGTGGCATGTTATGCAATTCTCTGTAACCACCAACCATTTCATATAGGGGGTCGGCACGCATAGTCACCAATTTTCCTGAAACTAAGCCTGACCATATGATTAGGTGAAAAAGTAAGAAAAATGCCATGTCAACCAAGTCAATGTGTTTTCACGTACATTTTGGGGAATTTAGCATTGAAAAAACAACTACTTTGCCGTCATTCTGAAGCAAAACCAGTATTTGTTAATATTTTTCAGAAACATGATAGCTAACAAACATAAAAGCAACGTCATATATAAAAAAACATTTGGCTGAATATTGTCACAACCACAGGAGCAGAGGTCATTTTTCATTGTATTTGTGAAGGCAAATTATACACATTCAGCATGAACAAAATATACAGTTTTGCATCCACCTCCATTTAAGTTGTGGTTATAAATATAAAGTATCGATGTTTCTAGACAATAATTTTCAACAAAATATTTGGGATGCAGGGTGCTAGGATGGTTTCTATGGAAACCAAAATGAGTCATTTTAGTTTTTTTCAGAATTTCGACCATGTTATTAAGATTACCCGAAAACAGTAATTATTATTATACCTCAGTATGTTTTTCTATATAAAAAAGAATGAAATATTTGTGCTATTTCATTCCACAGACTATTTGCCAGTCAATAGTTTCAAAGGCTATTACCCCGGTCAATAGTTTTATAAACATATTTCCCATACTTTTTCATACTATTTTTTTATTGGACAACAATGACGTCATTGGCTATTCTGCTTGGATTTGTGCGCTTGGCAACGTTAAACTCTGAAATATCGTAAACGGTATAATCTGTATGTGTCTGTCGTCGTTATTTCAAATTAAATATATTACTTACCAGAAAATCTATGTGACATATTTTAAGAACTAAAGCATAACAAATGTATGGTATTGGGGTGTCATTGTCTTCATAATCTGGGATTGCTTTGGTGAATGGTAATATATGATAGCTAGCGTTTATTATATCATTTTATGCACAGGAATTTTTACACAAGGATTCCTGGTCTTGATATCAGTAAATAAAATATTGACAAATACCACACGAGCAAAAAAAAAAAAACCTGATAGTTCACCTTGTGCATGTTTATGTGACTATTTGGTTTTTTTTTACAAGTGGTGTATGTAATCTTTTTAGAATGTTGTTTTGTTCGGTATAATAAAACACTTACTGACTGGTTATGAGTGTAATAGCAAGTTTGTTGTCCCTTTGAAACTAACTATTGCCCTCGGCTTCGCCTCGAGCAATAGTGGGTATCTCAGGGACAACAAACTTGCTATTACCCTCATAACCAGTCAATAGGTGTATACTATTGAATGACTATGATGTGAAAACTATTGAGCATTAAATGACCTTCAATTTAACCCAAGGTCAAAGGTCATAGATGACCTTGAAATTTGACCTTGCGTATATTAATTGGATTTTGTAAGAAAAGATAAAAAGAACCAAACAATACATGAGGAAAATGTTCAGGATGATTAAAGCCACTGTTTTGTTTACAGATCAATAGTAAGAAGTCAAGGTCTTGTCAAAAGTGCTTAGCAACCACCCTTATTTGATACAAAAGAACCTAGTAACCATATATGTTTTGATTCAGGACTGTATGGATTATTACATAGACCCTACCTGAAAGGTCAGGGGTGAATGTTATCACACTAGTCCTTAGCAACCATTCATTTATAGTTTACATGTGCCTAGCAACCATTCATTAATATTGGAAAATTGCCATGCAACCATTTATTTGTATTGGAAAAGTGCCTAGCAACAATATATTTTCGGTTTCATTGAGACAAAAATCAGAAAAAAATTGATATCAAACATGCAGTTTAAATAAAACCCAAAACGCAGAAAGGTAGAAAAATCATTATTCATGGATAATATATGTTAAGGAATTGATTTCCAATTAAGTTATCTTAACTTATTTGTTGATCGTATATGGCTGATCTATTTCCACTAACATTTTAATCAAATCTATAATACTTTTCTAGAAAATAGCCAAAAAACAGTTTACTGTTTATTTATTAATTTATTTAATGACAATTTGTCACACCTGGGACTTACATGAATAATACAGTCTCTTGGTCCCAGGTTGTCTATTCCTTCATTTTTTTGGAAATATCAAATACTACTAGCTATTTTTGTTTTTAGAGAAACCATTATTTTATTAAAATGCTTATTGTATTTCGATACTGTGCAAATAAAAATCTTTCGATAAAATATTAATATAATTTGCACTATAATTTGGACATGTATATGTACTGTATTTTTATGCCCCTGCCGTAGTGGAGGGGGCATTAAGTTTTACCATAGTCTGTCTGTACATCCATACGTCCCGAAATTGGTTTCTGTTCTCTAACTTTAGTTTGCCTCGACCAAATGTTATGAAACTTATACACAATGCTAATTACCTCTAAACACAGATCAAGTTTGAATTTGGGTGGTGTCACTTTTATCTTTCTAGAGTTATGCCCCTTTACAAATGGAAAAATTGCTGAATTTTTCGTTTCCATTCTCTAACTTAAGTTTGCCTCAACCAAATTTTATGAATATTATACACAATGCTTCTTACCACAAAACACAGATCAATTTTGAATTTTGGTGGCGTTACTTTTACCGTTCTAGAGCTATGCCCCTTTACAAATGGAAAAATTGCTGAAATTTTCGTTTCCGTTCGTACGTCCCGAAATTGGTTTCTGTTGTCTTACTTAAGTTTGCCTCAACCAAATTTTATGAATATTATACTCAATGCTTATTACCACAAAACTCAGATCAATTACGAATTTGGGTAGCGTCACTTTTGGTTAGTTAGTATATATTTTGAAATATCAGTGAAAGTAAAAATAACCTTAGACATGCTCTTGTTGTAAACCTATATATATATATATATATATATATATATATATATATGCCTGGGAAAACAGCCTTAGTACTTATTTCGTATGATTTAAAGTTTCATGAACACTAAATACACACAAAAAATATCTGTGATGTTTTAAGTCCAGAACAGGAGACAGCGTGGTTGATGATTAACTGAAATACACAGGAGTAAAATGTGCTTAAAAGGAATTTGACATTCTAATTGAAAGAAAGAATTACCTTTATTGTAAAAATTACGGAATTTTGTCACAAGGGATCAAAACATTGATGATTGCTAGGCATTATCCATCTATATGAGAATGGCCACTTAAGTCTTTGGTAACGATATTGACCCCTCACCTTTCAATAAGGATCTATATAACAGTTCATATTAGTCTGAACCCAAAAATGTATGGTTGCTAGGTACTTTTATATCAGGTAAGGGTCGTATCTTAAAAAATTTGACATGACCTTGGTCTTTAGCATTTAACCTTGTTACCAAATAAAAGCAATAATCGTTCTGAACATTTTTAAAATTCAAGGTATGGGTATATTTGTAACCATTTCTGACAAAATCTAATAAAAAAAGACTCAAGGTCAAAGGTCAAGGTCATCAATAACCTTTAACCTTTAGATCAAACTTAAAGTTATTGAATGCGCAACATTTTTCAATTGATTTTCATCCTTTATCTGTCATAGTTTATGAGATAGTTTAATTATAAGGGCAAAATTATTTTATAAAATAAAAAAAAATCACTTTTAGGTTCCCTTAGCAACCACCCTAGGAACCTGAATCCCAAACCTTTAACTATAAATTATTACTAGGCAACAGTGTTAGTTTACATTAATAACTTTAATGTAAATAGGTGTGGATGCAAAAATGTGTAATTAGTTCATGTAAAATGCCTATAATTTGCCTTCTTGAATACAATGAAAACTCCCTTATTTTAATCAGTGTTGCCACCTTCTCCCCTTTTCATTAGAATTATTTTTTATCTTCCATCTTACTAAGTAAATGTTATATTTTGATAAACAAATGTTACAATATTCATCAAAAGTGAAATGTATGCATGAATACTGACTGAAAATGGTCATTTTTCTACCTCAAAAAACATGGACATAAACAATTATGTTTGTCAATAGCTACCAACAAACAAAATTTCAAAAAATCTGAGACTATGCATGCCGCAACTTGGTTGGTGGTTACAGAGAATTACTAAAAAACATATCCAAGGCAAGGCTTCCAAAACGGTCATATATTCCGGACGTTTGTAAAATGTCCGGTAAAAGTCCGGCTGGGCAAAGCATGAAACGGTCATCTATTTTTTAGTTTTCAAGGCTTTCTTAAGAGACGGTCATTTTAACATAATTCGCGATCTTTTGACCCAACCTTTTGCCTTTAACAGCCACACATTTCCGGTCATAAAAGTGACATGATCATTAAGTACTATCTAAACAACCCCTACTTTAATACCTTCTCATTTTAATCAAGGCTAATTAGTTGTCAAACAGCTGAAATTTACCTGTTCAGGTGACAGGTAAACTATTTTGAACCAGACATTGATCGGTCTATTCAGAGTTATTTTGTTACATTTCAGCGGTTTGCATCTAATTAATTTAGTCAAAAAGATTTAAATTATCAGAAATATGTTTACAAATTTGATTTGGATTCCAGGGTTATTATGAAAGTCTTAAAACAACATATAAGTTTGGGGATTCACTATTTTTGTAAAGAAGCAGCATACCTATTTCAGTTGTTAATTTGAATGTGAAGAATATATTGACATACTGTGGTTTCATAATTATATGGGGGTACTGATTTTTGTGCATTTGGTGGGTAAAGGTTAAATGTTCAATAAAGTACAAATTTTCTATATAAAAATAAGGATTAGAATATTTATTGTTCTAATTTAAAGCCCTTGATGGGCAGCATGACCTATATACACACAAAACAATACACCATGATTTGTAACAAAAAAACATTTTTTTTTTACATTGAAATGATATTTTAAAAATGTTCATATACTTATAGAGCTACATATATTTCTTCATGCATGTATACCAACTTTTCTAAACCATGAAATCAAATATCCACAAAAAATACAATAATATATTTTCTCAATACACGAAAATTGATACCCATATAAGGTAAATGAATGCACAGTACATGCTAAATCTGTTTATTTACAATGTTTATCAATGACACATGTCACAATCAGTAAGGAAATGTTTGACCATTATTTAATTTCTTCAGGGTTGAATTACCTGACGATAGAAACATGTCTTACATCACAGGTCTGAGACAGACAGTAGAATCTACCACACAGCTGGCAGTCTGTGTACTACCTTCCAGTAGAGAAGATTGTTATAATGCTATCAAGAAATTCTGCTGTGTTGATCATCCAGGTAGGTTATCATTAGATTGATCATCCAGGTAGGTTATCATTAGATTGATCATCCTGGCAGGTTATCATTAGATTGATCATCCAGGTAGGTTATCATTAGATTGGTCATCCAGGTAGGTTATTAGAAACTTTTCTTTCTCAGTGTCTTTGATCATCCAAGTAGGTAGTCATTAGAAATGTTCCTTTCTCAGTGTCTTTGATCATCCAGGTAGGTTATCATTAGAAACTTTCCTTTCTCAGTGTCTTTGATCATCCAGGTAGGTTATCATTAGAAACTTTCCTTTCTCAGTGTGTTTGATCATCCAGGTAGGTTATCATTAGATACTTTCCTTTCTCAGTGTCTTTGATCATCCAGGTAGGATATCATTAGAAACTTTCCTTTCTCAGTGTCTTTGATCATCTAGGTAGGTTATCATTAAAAACTTTCCTTTCTCAGTGTCTTTGATTATCCAGGTAGGTTATCATTAGAAACTTTCCTTTCTCAGTGTCTTTGATCATCCAGGTAGGTTATCACTAGAAACTTTCCTTTCTCAGTGTCTTGTGAATGTTTAACTGATTGTTGGTGTTTAATGCCTCTTTCAGCACTCTTGGCTTTATAATGGCGGCCATGTTCTATCGATGGAGGGAGCCTGAGTACCCTGTTGGTGTTTAATTCCTCTTTCAGCACTCGGCTTTATAATGGCGGCCATGTTCTATTGATGGAGGGAGCCTGAGTACCCTGTTGGTGTTTAATGCCTCTTTCAGCACTCTTGGCTTTATAATGGCGGCCATGTTCTATTGATGGAGGGAGCATGAGTACCCTGTTGGTGTTTAATGCCTCTTTCAGCACTCTTGGCTTTATAATGGCGGCCATGTTCTATTGATGGAGGGAGCCTGAGTATCCTGTTGGTGTTTAATGCCTCTTTCAGCACTCTTGGCTTTATAATGGCGGCCATGTTCTATTGATGGAGGGAGCCTGAGTACCCTGTTGGTGTTTAATGCCTCTTTCAGCACTCTTGGCTTTATAATGGCGGCCATGTTCTATTGATGGAGGGAGCCTGAGTACCCTGTTGGTGTTTAATGCCTCTTTCAGCACTCTTGGCTTTTTAATGGAGGCTATGTTCTATTGATGGAGGGAGCCTGAGTACCCTGTTGGTGTTTAATGCCTCTTTTAGCACTCTTGGCTTTATAATGGCGGCTATGTTCTATTGATGGAGGGAGCCTGAGTATCCTGTTGGTGTTTAATTTCTCTTTCAGCACTCGGCTTTATAATGGCAGCCATGTTCTATTGATGGAGGGAGCCTGAGTACCCTGTTGGTGTTTAATGCCTCTTTCAGCACTCTTGGCTTTATAATGGTGGCCATGTTCTATTGATGGAGGGAGCCTGAGTACCCTGTTGGTGTTTAATGCCTCTTTCAGCACTCTTGGCTTTATAATGGCGGCCATGTTCTATTGATGGAGGGAGCCTGAGTACCCTGTTGGTGTTTAATGCCTCTTTAAGCACTCTTGGCTTTATAATGGCGGCCATGTTCTATTGATGGAGGGAGCCTGAGTACCCTGTTGGTAATTAATGCCCTTTTCAGCACTCTTGGCTTTATAATGGCGGCTATAATGTTGAACAATAGACAAAATGATGAGATAAACTATATTGCGATTTCAGTAAATGCTATCAATATTTAAAATGCAAGTTTTTATTTTTTGGGAAACCTATCATGACTTAATGATAAAAACATCACAATGATTTCTGAATTTATAATACTAGAGATAGTGAAATCTGTAAAATCAGATTTACATGTAATATGAATAATAACTGAATTTATATTTTGCAGTGCCAAGTCAGGTAGTACTAAGCAAAACAATCATGAAGAAACAACGGCTCCAGTCTGTGTCTACTAATATTGCTATCCAGCTGAACTGTAAGCTGGGCGGAGAACTCTGGGTAGCATCTATGCCTGTAAGTTATTAAAGAGATAGAATCTGCATTATAGGTGGAAAACTCTGGGTAGCATGTATGCCTGTAAGTTATTAAAGGGAGAGAATCTGATTTATAGGTAGAAAACTGTGTGTAGCATGTATGCCTGTAAGTTATTAAGGGAGAGAATCTGCATTATAGGTGGAATACTCTGGGTAGTATGTATGCCTGTAAGTTATTAAAGGGAGAGAATCTGCATTATAGGTGGAAAACTCGGGGTACCATGTATGCCTGTAAGTTATTAAAGGGAGAGAATCTGTATTATAGGTGGAAAACTCTGGGTACCATGCATGCCTGTAAGTTATTAAAGGCAGAGAATCTGTATTATAGGATGAAAACTCTGGGTAGCATGTTTGCCTGTAAGTTACTAAGTGAGAGGTTCTGCACCAAGGACAGCTTGAAAACTTCTCTGCCTGATTTATATGGATCCCTGTATATAAAGTTTTAAGAAAATTTAGGATATATGTCAATGAGACAGTAACCCAATGACACCAAAAAAACTCAAGACTTTTATCAGCCATCCAAGCTTTTTGATTGATACATGAAGTGGAACTTGTATATAGGTAAAAAGTATAGACATTGAAGGAATTAGGTGTACTATTTTATTTTATATACAAGCTAAGGCATCACTTATATATTTGGTGATTGAAAATTAAATTTATAAAATACCACACAGTGCAACAGACACCAGCAACAACTAACACCTTACTCTTAAAAAAATCCAAACATACAAACAAAACGAACAGCACATGGTCCAGATAGTCTGAACCTGGTACAGGCACAAAATTGGAAACCTTTTATTTGGAGAGGGGACTTTTAAAGATATCCCATATTAATTCTTGTTACTGGGATACCACCTTCATTTCTGATGAAATTGAATTTGTATGAATGAGGATGCCTTAGATGAGTATGAGAATCTGAAAAATATGCAATTGGGAGCCATTTTTTGTGGAGGGGACTTGTCAAAATGTCACACATTAATCCATGTCACCAGGATAGTGCAAACTGAAATAGAATATTGAGAGGATAAACAGATAACTTTACCATGAACTACTGGACAATTATTAGGAATATTGCTCTTAATAATCTTGATATTTACAAAAAGGTCTTCAGTTAAAAGATTCAGTACCTTGTGGCCAAAAAATCAATGTATGCAATTTGTAAATCTTGTGTATAACTTTATTTAATTTTACAGGGCATGACTAATGGTTTAATGATAGTTGGTATAGATGTGTTCCATGACAAAAAGAATAACAAGTCATATGCTGGTGTTGTCTGTAGTTTGAACAGGGAATGTACTCGATACTATTCCTCTGTTACTCCCCAACTAAGTGGACAGGAATTAATTGATGGCATTTATGCAAAGTTTGCTGGTATGTTACAATATTTTTACAATCAACTTCAAATAAATCCTGTTGCTAATGAATTAAACCACTAAGGCAATATGCATAGTTTTTTTTTGCTCCGTGTTGAAGGCCTAACTGTGACTTTGAGATGAAGAACAGCAATAAAAGTGCTGTTCCTTTTCTTTTTGTGTTTTTTTTTAGCTGTGCATGTACTGATTTTGTGTCATGGAGGGATACCCCATATCCTTTTTCTATTAAGGTAGATTTGGCACTCTTTATTGTGTAAACATATCATAATTGTAGACACAGGATCAATATTTCAATCAGATAGGCTATATTACTAGAAACAAAGACAGAAGTAGGAAATTAAAAATATGTTAGAAAATATTTAATTAAGTTGTTGAAATTCTGGAAAAAAATATTGCATGATCCAATGAACACTAAATTATTAATTGTCTTTATCTGTACAGAGGGACTAAAGAAGTACCATGAAGTAAATGGTTATTTGCCTGGAAATATTGTTGTGTATCGAGACGGTGTTGGTGATGGACAGTTAGATATGGTTATGCAACATGAAGTCAAACAGATGCAGGACTGTACCACAGATTTGTATCCAGATGTTCCGTAGGTTTTTAGTCATAAAGAATTTTAAATTAACTTATTTTTTTTAAAGATTTAAAAGTCATTTAAGAATCACTGAGAATTTTAAATTGGGTCTTATTTTAAAAAAAAATTAAAAAACAATTTATAACTAGTACAAATTGGATAAGCTATTGGCTGTTAACAGTTGCTTTGATCTTTACAATGAAGAAGTCATAAAAAAATCCTTATCAGTTTGATTACACCATACACTCCTGACTCTTGAGATGTGATATGTGAGTCTAATTTTAAAATGTCTGCAATACAATACTTAGTTCATTCCAACTAAGATAAACGTAATTTTGTTTCTAACCTACCAGGAACACTGATTGGTTGACATTAAGGTATTTGAGTACTTACATTTGACAAAACTGGCATTCCTGGCTCAAATATCATATTAAAACAATGATCAGCCACTCTTTTCACAAAAAATCTTAAGAGTAAAAATACTTGTAAGTCATACACATTTCATTATAACTTACGATCAGTTTTAATCGTAAGATTTTTTGTGAAAAGAGTCGCAGAGTCTTTGTAAAGGAAAACATTAAGGAAAACTTATCATGTTCAAATTTGTATTACAGGCCAAAGATGGCAGTAGTTATAGTTAAGAAGAGGATTAGTCAAAGGTTCTTCTTCAAAAACCATAATAGTTACAGTAATCCTACACCAGGGATGGTCGTAGATACAGCCCTCACTAAAAGTGAATGGTAAGTCTACTGTTCTTAAGGCAAAAGTATGTGATTTAAAAAAACAAAACATTCCTGCCCCTTTACACACACACAGAATAAAAAACTTATATTTAAATTTTGAGTGCATAAATAATAACAAATAAAATCTTACGGTTCACCCTATAAACAAGAAATAATTGTTTAGGAACAAAAAGCACACTCAAATAATTCTGCCTTGATATTCTAAGATTTCCATACAATGAAGGGTCAAAGGGTCAAACAAGACAAATCAAAGACAAAGGATTGATATGATTCAATATTCCGCAAAGGATTTTCACTAAAACATCAAATTTGCAGGGAGGTTTGCAACCTTATATTATATAACCTATGGTTTTCAAAAATATTAGCTTGTGAAATATGTGAGGGAAAATCTTTATTTCAGTGTTTACTATAAGTATCCATTATAACAGATTTGGAGGTCTTTCTTGTTTATTTAATTAAAAAAGAACAGTCCTAGGTATGCATCTTTTTTATCGTTAAATATATTCCCTACTCTTAACATTTTCAACTTTTCTTTGTAATCCTTCTGACTTTTCCCTAGATTGTTCATCATCAATTATTACCATGCAAACCTTATATTTGTTCGATTTAAAAAAAAAATAAATACCTACTATTTTGTGCAACAATACCTCTATTTACCAAATATAGCTGGTAAACATTGGTACTTCTTTTATTTCAGGTTAGACTTTTTCTTGGTGTCCCAGTCAGTACGCCAGGGGACTGTCTCCCCCACACACTATAATGTTATCTTCAACACTATCACAAGCTTTACTGCAGACAGATTTCAAAGACTTAGCTACAAGTTATGCCATCTGTATTACAACTGGCCAGTAAGTAAAACATTCTTACATATAAGTTATTTAAGAATTATGCAAACATGCAAACTGTTTTTGAATACTTTTTACTTGGCACTTATGACTTATGTAAGAAAAAAAAGAAATTAACAAAAATAACAAACTCTACGGAAATAAAAAAAAAAGGGGGGGGGGGAATCCATTGAGCATGACAAAATCAAACGCTCGATTATATCAACCAATGGAACAAATTGAAAACATGATTTCAATTTATTTGACAATCATGATAAATATTATGTTTCATGGAGGTTTACATATGACTTTTGTGTTGTTTAGTGAAATATTTGTAATTTATATTTTGCTCAATAAGATACCTAATCACCCTTTTTTTGTTTGTTTATTTTCAGGGCACAATACGTGTACCAGCGCCTTGTCAGTATGCCCACAAATTGGCATATTTAGTTGGCCAGAATATAAGAAAGATTCCACATCCTGCATTGTCAGATAGACTCTACTTCTTGTAAAGTGATTGGAAATTTGATCTTGTTCTGAATACGTATGAAATATTTGCCACTTGTTCTTGTTCTGAATATGCATGAAATATTTGCCACTCCACGTTAAGCAAACAATCAGTCTTGTATAGTAATTGTAAATTTGTTCTCGTTTTGAATATGCATGAAATATTTGCCACTTTACGTTAAGCAAACAATCAGTCTTGTAAAGTAATTGCAAATTTGTTCTCGTTTTAAATATGCATGAAATATTTGCCACTTGATGTTAAGCAAACAATCAATCTTGAAAGGGAATTTCAAGATGAAAGTCTGCGATAAAAAAAAAATGATGTCAGAATAAAGCTTGATTCATCTTTGTTTGCTCTACATACAAAAATATAAGACAAACTAAAAAAACGATGGCATAGCACCATTGATAATTTGTAATTTTACAAACATAAAAGACCAGTAATTTATGCATTAGCGGTAATTTCACAATCCACATAATTATTGTAGCTTTCTACAAGTAATACACCTTATCGCTATCTGTCCGCCATTACTGTCCATTACAAACATTCCTGTATAATATTGACATCATAACAATAAATATTTGACACAACATTACAAAAGTGATTGTTATATGATGACGCCAATAGTTCAAGTGTCGCAGATTTTAAAATAGCCATAAGGTTTACACCTGCAGATGATATTTAACATATTTTACAGGATTCTGTAAGCACAAAAAGATTCACATTAAATATTCACAGTAATGGTGCTATTTGAATTTATCTGAGAAGATGTCCTTGCTAATTTTAAGTGGTTAATAGAAAGCTGAATTTGATATGTACATTGGACAATATTGTATCTCCTTTTCATTTAAGGTTTTACATTGTAGCTCTGTGTATTTGATGCTGTTAGAACTTTGTCATATATTATTGCAGAACATCAAAACATTTCAACCTAATAAAGAAACAATACTGTTGTTGTCTTTTTATAGTTTGTTTGTCATAAACATAGATTGTTCTAGCGGGGTTGGGTATATATTGGAATTGCGAACTCAAATGTGCATATTCATGAGGCTGAAATGAATGAATTGAGACAATTAGTTTACTAGAGAAGATTTTTATGCCCCCGCCTAAGCATTAAGTTTTACCCTTGTCCGTCTGTCAGTACGTCCCAAAATTGGTTTCCGTTCTCTAACTTAAGTTTGCCTCAACCAAATGTTATCAAATGCTTATTACCACAAAACACAGATCAAGTTTGAATTTTGGTGGGGTCACTTCAACCGTTCTAGAGTTATGCCCTTTATAAATGGAAAAATTGCAAAATTTTTCATTTCGGTTCTCTAACTTAAGTTTGCCTCAACCAAATGTTATGAAACTTATACACAATGCTTATTACCACAATATGCAGATCAAGTTTGAATTTTGGTGGCGTCACTTTTACTGTTCTAGAGTTATGCCCCTTTACAAATGGAAAAATTGCTAAATTTTTCATTTTTTTTCTAAAAATATCAATGATGTCATTGTTCAAGTAATTTTTAAAATTGGAGTTATCTTCCTTTGTCCATGATTATAGTTGAATCAACTACAATCAATGCTTTATACAATGCAATGTTTAATTTTGCCTTCCACTGATAAAGCACAGATCAAGTTGAATTTGGGTAGTGTCACTTTAACCATTATTGAGTTATGCCCCTTTATTAATCGAAAAATTGCAAAATTTTTAGTTTCCGTTCTGTAACTAAAGTTTGCCCCAACCAAACTTGAAACCTATACACAATACTTATAACCACAAAACTAAGATCAAGTACAAATTTGGGTAGCGTCACTTTTATTGTTCTTGAGTTAAGTCCCTTTATAATGTTGTATGCAAGCGGGGTCATCATCTGTGTCCATGGGGACACATTCTCTATTTATTTTAAACAAATACTCTGTCAGCGTATGCCAGTACGTTTTGCTTAATGCTTAGAATGTTTCCCTTGGGTGAAATATGTCTTAGAGGTTTGTAAAATAGAGGCGAAAGATACCAAAGGGACATTCAAACTGACAAGTTGAAAAAAAACTGACAGAGCCATGGCTAAAAAAGAAAAAGACCAACAGACAAACAACAGTACACAAAACACAACATAGAAAACTAAAGACTGAGCAACACAAACCCAACTAAAAATTGGGGGTTGATCTCAGGTGCTCCTAAGAGGTGAGCAGATAAAGTAGCACATTTAGCTGTATGCTTTGTATGTATGTTTCATTATAATACGTTATTTTGATTGGCAAACAGCAATCTCTCGTCATTCTAAAATTAACCTTCATTTCAAAATGAAATGTAACATTCATGATGACACAAGCTTCCACAGTAAAGTGCACAGGTAAATAAAAGAAAAACTTGATAGAAATCGTGTTTTGATGATCTTAGCAGAGACATATATACACATGTATATATGTCTCTGATCTTAGCAAAAAAAATGTAATTACAAGTATTGAATGCTTCTTTTAGAAATTTTATAGGGTTGTACAAGCATTGACCGTGCACACATTTTTAGAATGAAGCGCCTCTGCGCTTCATACAAAATGTACTTCGGTCAACGCTTTTACACCCCAATAAATTTTTACAAAAAGAAGCATTCAATTCTTAATTTAAAAACATATCATATTCCATAGATGTTTTACACTACTATCACTAAAAAAGGCCATAATTAAATATTCCTTGTACATATTCCATTTTTGTTAGTACCTTTGGTATTTCTTACCTACTTGACTTGACATTACTTGATAAAAGCAGATAATATGACATTACTCTGGAACTATGTGTCCAACCTTCACCAATCTTTGCTTGAATACACCACTTGGAAAGAACAAGACCCCTAGTGATTTTTGGATAAGAAGCACCAAAGGTCGAGGTCACAGTGTCTATCAATCAAGTTGGGGTTTTTTTTGGAAAATTTTTGTTTCTTTTTAGCTACAAATCAGATCTTTGCTAATCTTTGATGAATGTGAAAAAGACGCCTATCAATTTGGAGGTCACTTGTTCAAAGGTCAAGGTCACATCAGAAATTGATAGACTAAAATTTTGGCTTTTTTTGGTTTTGGTTTTTGGTTGTCAGTAGACTCTAATGTGTTCTTAAAGGTTAAGGAAACGTCAGAAATTAAAAGACTTAAATTTTGACAAATTTCTGGTTTTCCATAAATTGTCACCTGTCTTTACAGTGTTAACCATGAAGATCTAGAAAAATACCAATATGACTGGAGCCACCAATTGACTACTTGAAAAGGAGTTGTTGTCTTTACATTAAAATTTTGACCAATTTTGTCGTTACTATCCAATTCATTATCTTGAAAGTTATTGTAAGCAAACAGAAACTTTAGACAACAAAAATGTTCATCAGTAATACAATTTCTAGATTATATGCCGTATCCATGTAGTCAAACCTACATGGGTATCTTTCCATGTCATGATTTGGAAAACAGATGTTATATTTCGTTGGGCACTTAAATTCGTGGATAAAGCTATCAACGAAAACCACGAAAATTGGTACCCCACGAATAAAAGTACTTTCACAGTATCTTGAAAGTTATTGTAAACAAATAGAAACTTAGACAACAAAAATGTTCATCAGTAATACAATTTCTAGAAAAAAATATACTGGAAATAAGAATCTGGTATTAACCCCATATAATTTTTATATCATTTGAACAGTAATTATAAATATACAAATATGAAGGTGTGGTACTATGATTGCCAATGAGACAACTCTCCACCAGAGACCAAACGACGCAGAAGTTAACAAATCTTAGGCCACCATACGGCCTTTAACAATGAGCAAAACCCAAACGGTATAGTACGCTTTAAAAGGCCATGTTAGGTTAGGGTGAAGGTTGGCGCCTGTTAAAACGTTTAAACCCGCTGCATTTGTTTGTACCTGTACAAAGTCCGGAACCTGTTTCAGTGGTTGTTGTTTGTTGATGTGGTTCTTAAGTGTTTCTCGTTTCTCGTTTTTTTTATGATTAGACCGTTGGTTTTCCTGATTGAATTGTTTTACACTAGTCATTTTGGGGCCCTTTATAGCTTGCTGTTCGGTGTGAGCCGAGGCTCCGTGTTGAAGGCCGTACTTTGACCTATAATTGTTTACTGACTGTTTATACATTGTGACTTGGATGGAGAGTTGTCTCATTGGAACTCATACCACATCTTCTTATTTCTATGCAATGTCAAATGTGAAACAATTCAAAAGACAAAAAGTAATATTCATATCAATGCACAGTGTTTTTTTTTGTTGGAGAAATCCCAATTAAAGACAGAATATGCATGTTTGTGCCCCGCCGTAGCGGAGGGGGCATTAAGTTTTACCCTTGTCCGTCTGTACGTCCGTCCGTACGTCCTGAAATTGGTTTCCGTTCTCAGGCTATCTTTAGTTTGCCTCAACCAAATGTTATGAAACCTTATACACAAAACCTCAAAACACAGATCAAGTTTGAATTTGGGTGGCGTCATTTTACCTTTCTAGAATTATGCCCCTTTACAAATGGAAAAATTGCTGAATTTTTCGTTTCCGTTCTCTAACTTAAGTTTGCCTCAACAAAATGTTATGAATCTTATACACAATGCTTATTACTACAAAACACAGATCAAGATTGAATTTTGGTGGCATTACTTTTACCGTTCTAGAGTTATGCCCCTTTACAAATGGAAAAGTTGCTGAATTTTTGGTTTCCGTTCTCTAACTTAAGTTTGCCTCAACCAAATGTTTTGAAACTTATACTCACTGCTTATTACCACAAAACTTAAGATCTGATTGCAATGCAGCACATGTACACCAGAAGGGGAATGCTTTTTCATATTCTTCAACTAGTGAATCAATTTCATTCCTAGGACAACCAGTAACATACTACTGTCTAATAACCATTTGTAGTTCAGTTACAATATACTTGTGGTAAAAATTCCAGTAATTTTCTTGACCTTTATTGTTTGAGTATTGGCATTGATTGTTCTTAGGCCATTTTGTTATACATGTCATACATCACTAACTTAGCAAGATTAACTTAGAAACATACATGGTATTATAGGTCTCTGGTAAACTGCATCGTTCCATTCTGCCTTTTATTCTTTTATTCAAATCATCGGGTCTTAGTATGTAGTCTTATTTCTAGAAAATCATACACTTCATTTACTTTGATTCTTTGATTTTTGTGTTAGTCAAACTTCAAATCTGTTTTGTATGATACTTGTCATCTCGTTTACGTCTGTGTTCTTCAGTCCTCTCCTCTTGATTATGCACGAAATATTTGCAACTGGACGTTAAGCAAACAACATTCAATCAATCAATCTGCGTTGAAACTCTTTCCGCAACTTTAAGACGGGAATCAGCAACAAAATTGCGGTTTCATTTATTTTGGTTTTGTCAGGTACATGAAGGAATTTTGTGTCAGGAAATCAAAATACAATTCAATAGTATTGGGCAAATAGACCAAAAAAAAACATATTTTGCTCAAAATTGAGAATACCTGCTCAAACATTTTCAGGATGGGGTTTCAAAAGATTTGTTTTCTGCTTTTTTAGGGTCATTTGGTTGCAATAACACCACTCTTTATAAACTCTTAATTGTCCTGAACACGCATGAAATATTTGCCACAGGACGTTAAGCAACCAATAATCAATCAATATAAACTCTTAAAGGAACATCAGCTGATATTATGCATAGCTACCTGGTGAGCAATACATGCTCATTGTGGCCTTCTGTTGATTTCATTTTTTGTAGATTACATTTTCGATGCAATGCATTGACTATACTATATCTAATAGAAGGTGGTTGGTACTGGATATTTTATGGGTTTCCATTAGCAATTCGTGCACTTGGCTATTTCTTTGAAAGGGAGTAGGTATCTTGTATCCGCAAGTCATTGACTGGATTTCACATGGAATTTTTCTCTCATGAAGCCATTGTGCACCTCTCATTATGATTTTGATTGGGTTGAATTTTGGGTT